GGCATATAGCAGGGTTGGGAGGACAATAGCTTTATAGACAAGCACCTTGGTATCCCTACAGATGTCCCGGTCCTCAAACACTCTCTGCTCCACTTGGAAAAATGCTGCACTCGCAGGTGTTGTATTTCGGTGTCAATGTTGACTTTGGTGGAGAGGTGGCTGCCAAAGTAGCAGAAATGATAAACATTTTCTAATGTTACACCATTAAGCTGTATCGCTGGCATTGGAGAGGGGTTGACTGGTGTCTACTAGAACAGTGCTTTGGTTTTCTCGATGTTCAATGAAAGGCCAAGCTTCTCGTATGCTTCTGCGATGGTGTTTAGCGTGGCTTGTAGATCTTCTTCTGAATGCGCGCGTGTCTAGGACTATGTGATGATGATGATGATGATTATTATTATTATTAGAGCCCCGATGGCACAGCGGGTTAAACCTTTGTGCCGGCAGGACCAAAGACTGACAAGTCGTAGGTTCGAATCCGGGGAGAGCACGGATGAGCTCCCTCTGTCAGCTCCAGCTCCCCATGTGGGGACATGAGAGAAGCCTCCCATAAGGATGATACAACATCAAAACGTCCCCTGGGCAACGTCCTTACGTCTTGCTGCATGTTCCAGAGTAGACTAACCAAACAATTTCCACATCAATACTGACAAGAATCCAGGGAGAGCAGGTTGAGCTCCCTCTGTCAGCTCCAGATCCCCATGCAGGGACATGGCAGAAGCCTCCCACAAGGATGGTAAAACATCAAACATCTGGGCATCTCCTAGGTAACACCCTTGCAGACGACTAATTCTCTCACACCAGAAGCAACTTGCAGTTTCGCAAGTCACTTCTGACATGAAATAATAATAATTATTATTATCATTATTATTATTTACAACACTTATCTCCTGCTCTTCTCATCCTGAAAGGCACTCAGGGCGGCTTACATGAGCGGTATTATTTTATGCCCAAACAACAACAACAATTAAAACAATTAAACAACAATTTAAAACAACATTAAAACAACCTATGTAAACATTAGACAACTACTGTGCATTGATCCAAAGCCAGATAATCTTATTCATCAATCCAAAGCCAATTCCAACTACAAGGGGTATTTTTTAAGTAAGGTCCGTTTTGTTGTAGACACTAGTAGTTCACGTGCATACCGCAACAAGCACGTGTGTCGTGTACCGGCATGCCTCGGGAACAAGTGTGCTCAGTTTCCGCTCTGTAGCTAACCTGTACGGTTCTGTTCTGTGCTTTAAAAATGTTTAAGACTATCAACGCACCCGCCGCATGTGAGGTTCGCTCAGTGATACGGTTTTTGTCAGCAAGGAACCTGCCTGCTGCAGAAATTCATCGACAGATTTGTGAAGTGTACGGTGATACTGTTATGAGTGAAAGCAAAGTGCGTAAGTGGGTACGACAATTCAAAGATGGCCAGGACAACGTCCATGATGAGGACCGCTCCAGTCACCCTTCTTTGATTACAGACGATTTGGTGGCTTCAGTTGAAGCGAGGATTTATGAAGAGGGTATTTTAAAATTGGTTCAGAAGTATGATAAGTGTTTGAACAAACTTGGCAACTATGTCAAAAATTAGAGTGAAGTATGTACTTTCTGAAAATAAATTTACTTTTTTGAAATGAACTTTCGTTGTGTACTTATGTTCCAACGGACCTTACTTAAAAAATACATCGTATATTGTATCCATAATTATGCTGGCCCAAATGATCCCAAGGACAAGGTTTCACTTTTTTGCAAAATGACAGCAGGGAAGGGGCCAATCGAATCCCACTAGGGAGGGAGTTTCACAGCTGAGGGGCCACCACTGAAAAGGCCCTGTCTATAGTCCCCACCAGTCCGGCTTTACAAAGGTGATGAGACCGAAAGCAGGGCCTCCCCAGAAGATCTTAACCTCCATATTGGTTCAGAGAGGGAGATGCGTTTGGACAGGTAAGTTGGGCTGGGGCCATTGAGGGCTTCATAGGCCAAAGCCAGCACTTTGAATTGTGCTTGGTAGGTAACCGGCAGCAAACATTATATAGCTGTGTAGGTGGGGGCCACAGACAATCCCAACACTTGTACTATAGCTCTCCCTATCTAGATATTACATTTACTTAATTCATTGTTTCTCAACCTGGGGGTCAGGACCCCGGAGGGGGGGTCACGAGGGGGTTCCAGTGGGGTCGCCAAAGACCATCAGAAAACACAACATTTTCTGTTGGTCATGGAGGTTCTGTGTTGGAAGTTTGGCCCAATTCTATTGTTGGTGGGGTTCAGAATGCTCTTTGATTGTAGGTGAACTATAAATCCCAACAACTACCATTCCCAAATGCCAAAGTCGATTTTCCTCAAACTCCATCAGTATTCACATTTGGGCATACTGAGTATTCGAGCCAAGTTTGGTCCAGATTCATCGTTGTTTGACTCCACAGTGCTCTCTGGATGTAGATGAACTACAACTCCCAAAACTCAAGGAAGTTGTAGTTCACCAACTTGGGTCATGGGAATTCTGTGTGCCAAGTTTGGTTCAATCCCATTGTTAGTGGAGTTCAGAATGCTCTTTGATTCTAGGTGAACTATAAATCCCAGAAATTACAACTTTCAAATGACAAAATCAACCCCATGGATGTGTCGTTGTCTACACCAGGCATGGGCAAACTTGGGCCCTCCAGGTGTTTTGGACTTCAACTCCCACAATTCCTAACAGCCGGTAGGCTGTTAGGAATTGTGGGAGTTGAAGTCCAAAACACCTGGAGGGCCCAAGTTTGCCCATGCCTGCTTTGGATCATACCTGACACTACTTTAACTATAGAATCCTGTGTATCCCTTTTTTTGGCAGCCCCTTTTTAAACAGAGGCTGGCTGGCCATCTGTCGGGAGGGTTTTGACTGTGTCTTCCCGCCTGGCCAGTCTCTGGTGCTGAGATCCACTTACGGGAGTCCAGGGCGACTTGGTAAGAGGCCAGCGGCTCCAGAGAGAGCTTGTAGCCCTCGAACTTGGGGTCCAAGAGGGGGCGCTTGACCCGCAGGGAGCAATTGGCCGCCGCTTTGTCCTCCATCGCTTCCTTCTTCTCCTCTTAGAGGCCCAGGGAAGCCAGGACGCCTCTTCCAGCCCGCAGAGGCTTCTAGGTAGAGGAGTGCGAGCAAAGCATTCTGGGAAGTGTAGTTTTTTGAGTGACTGCTGCTCAAGAACTACATCCGGGCCACTGAGTGGACAACTTCTGCTTTTTGGGTGTTCCCATTCAAAGACTTGTTTATGAGGAATTCCTGAAGCACATCCACAGGGGATTAAAAGCCCATTTATTTGCCCAGCTCAATAGCCTTAATTAATTTTACTCATTAATTAATTACTAATTGTTAATTAATTAGCAAGTTTTTGATTAGTTGATTCATAATATAACTTATTTATAAATTCAATTTTTGCCCCCTCCTCCAATAGCCTTAATTACTTTTACTAATTACTAATTAATTATTAATTTAACTAATTAATTACTAATTAATTAGTTCTTTATTAGTTGAGTCATAACTTATTTATAAATTCCATTTATTTGCCCCCGCCCCAATAGCCTTAATTAATTTTACTAATTAATAACTAATTACTAATTAATTAGTTCTTTATTAGTTGATTCATAATACAACTTATTTATACATTCCATTTATTTGCCTTACCTCCAATAGCCTTAATTAATTTTACTAATTCATAATTAATTACTAATTAATTAATTAGTTCTTCATTAGTTAATTCATAACATAACTTATTTATAAATTCCATTTATTTGCCCCCGCCTCCAATAGCCTTAATTAATTTTACTAATTAATAATTAATTACTAATTAATTAGTTCTTTATTAGTTAATTCATAATATAACTTATTTATAAATTCCATTTATTTGCCCCCGCCTCCAATAGCATTAATCAATTTTACTGACTAATAATTAATTACTAATTAATTAGTTCTTTATTAGTTGATTCATAATACAATTTACTTATAAATCCCATTTATTTTCCCCGTCGCCAATAGCGTTGATTAATTTTACTAATTAATAATTAATTACTAATTAATTAGTTCTTTATTAGTTGATTTACTTATAAATCCTATTTATTTGCCACTGCCCCAACATCATTATTTTCATTTACTAATTATTAATAAGTTATTTATTCTTAGTTGATTCACAATAAACTTAATTACAAATCCAATTTATTTACCTCCGCCCCAGTAGCATTAATTTCACTCATTAATTAAATACTAATTAATTAATAAGTTCTTTATTGTTGGTTCATAATATAACTTAATTACGAATCCCATTTATTTGCCTCCGCCCCAATAGCATTGATTAATTTCACTCAATTAATTATTAATTAATAAGTTCTTTATTACTAGTTGATTCGCAATATAACTTAATTATGAATCCCATTTATTTGCCTCCGCCCCAATAGCATTGATTAATTTCATTCAATTAATTATTAATTAATTTATACGTTCTTTATTATTAGTTGATTCACAATAGAACTTAATTAGGAAACCCATTTATTTGCCCCGTCCCAATACTTTTACTCATTAATATTAATTAATATTAAGATTAATTAATTCTTTATTAGTTGATTCATAATATAACTTATTTATAAATCCCATTTATTAATATTAATATTAATTAATTCTTTATTATTAGTTGATTCATAATATAACTTATTTATAAATCCCATTTATTTGCCCCACCCCATAGCATCAATTAATTTTGCTTATTAATTAATAATAATAATAATAATAATTATTATTATTATTATTATTATTATTATTATTATTATTATTATTATTATTATTTATTAGTTGATTCATTTTCCCCATTTTAAATAAGACCCTATCCTAATATAGAACATCCAGGATATAAGGGAGAGCTGCTTTGAGAATGCGGCCTTCTGGGACTTGTAGTTCATTTGAGACACTGGGGAACAAGGAGAGACGCAATAAAGGACTACGTTTCCCGGTCTGCTTTGCGAGGCATGATGTCAGAACGTAGTGCGGTGGGCGGGACCCTCTTGGGCGTTTCTGCGGCTGCGCGGCGGGGAGTTGGAGGCGACTTTGGGAGGAAAGAGCCGGGAGGAAGCGAAAGGCCTCCGGGACAGGTACCTCTCTCTCTCACTCACTTTTTCCCATTCTCAGCTGTTTAATTGAGCTGGTCGGGGAGATCTCTTTTTTTAAAGTCATAATAGTGCATCTACACCGTGAAATTAATGCAGTTTGACACCCCTTTGACTGCCAAGGCTCAGTGCTATGGAATTGTGGGAGTTGTAGTTCCACAAGGGCTGTAGCCTTCTCTGCCAAAGAGGGCTGGGGCCTCAGCAATCCCATGATTCCATAGCATTCAGCAAAAGCGGTTCAAGTGGTGCCAAACTTCTCTAATTCTACAGTGTAGACACACCTTCATAATTCTGACTTAACATGAGTTCAGATTAATATAACTGCTCCTTCTTTAGGACATTTCTCAGAATGTTTCTTTAAACATTAAATTTACTGTATATCAACATAGATACACATTCAAGTACCAAACAAATAAAGACATGAAAATGGGATATTAAATAACTAAATACTAAAATTGATATAATTGGGAAAGGCGTACAACAGGGTTGTATACTCTCACCCAATGCTATGGAATTATGGGAGTTGTAGTTTCACAAGGGCTGCCCTTGAAAACGGCTCGGAAATTTCAGCTAGTTCAGCGGGCGGCAGCCAGGATGTTAACTGGGGCCCCTTACAGAGAGAGGTCAACCCTCCTGTTTAAGGAGCTCCATTGGCTGCCGTTCATTTTCCGATCCCAATTCAAGGTGCAGGTGCTCACCTACAAAGCCCTAAACGGTTTGGGACCTGCCTACCTGCGTGACCACATCTCCGTTTACGAACCCGCACGCTCCCTTCGATCATCTGGAGAGGCCCTGCTCACGATCCCACCTGCGTCGCAGGCGCGTTTGGTGGGGACGAGGGACAGGGCCTTCTCTGTGGTGGCCCCCCGACTCTGGAACTCTCTCCCCAAGGACATCAGAGAAGCCCCAACGTTGGCTGTCTTTAGGAAGAGCCTGAAGACCTGGCTGTTCCAGTGTGCCTTTCCAGAATAGGAAACTCCTGGCTTCAAGTCCCAAATGCACTTTGCTAGAGATTCAGGATTATCTGCACATTGCACCTACCTCCAAATACCTCTACATATCACCTGTCAAGTTCAGCACTTTTAAAATTTTGTCCATTACATTTGGCCCGGCCTTTAGGTTTTAATTGCGTCACGGTGTCATTGTTTTACTGTTTTATTATTTTGCTTGATGTTTATTATTTGCTTATGAGTTTATTGTGTATTGTATGTTGTTGTTTGTCGGCGGCCTTGGCCTTTGTAAGCCGCATCCTTCGGGAGATTTTGCGGGGTATAAATAAAGTTAATAATAATAATAATAATAACCTATTCAACTTGTATGAATGCGATGTGTGGGGCTTGATGAATGCAAGGCTGGGGTAAAAATAGCTGGAAGAAACATTAACAACCTTAGATATGCAGATGATACCAATTTGATGGCGAGGAGGAGCTAAGGAGCTTTCTAATCATGGTGAAAGAAGAAAGTGCAAAAGCTGGGTTGCAGCTAAATATATATAAAAAAACAAGATTATGGCAACCAGACTGATTGATAACTGGCAAATAGAGGCAGAAAACGTGGAGGCCGTGACAGACTTTGTCAGGAAATCGCAGCCAGGAAATCCGGAGACGCTTACTTCTTGGAAGGAGAGCAATGACCAATCTCGATAAAATAGTGAAGAGTAGAGACATCACACTGGCAACGAAGATCTGCATAGTTAAAGCAGTGGTATTCCCCATAGTCACCTACGGATGTGAGAGCTGGACTGAGCGAAGGAAGATAGACACTTTTTTTTTTTGTTTTTTTTTTTTTTTGTTGGAGGAAAGTTCTGAGAGTGCCTTGGACCACGAGAAGATCCAACCAGTCCATACTTCAGGAAATAAAGCCCAAGGCTTTGATAGTGTTCTTTCCAACGTAGTGCAATTGATTTTTTGTCCTTCAGAAGTTTGGTTCCATCTGATGAGCATAGAGGCTGTATGCCATGGTTTCTTGGTCCATAGATGACATTTGTGGCTTTGAAAAATCCCTGAGCATCATGGGTATCTGGAAGGAAAAAGGAAAAGGGGCCGACCAAGGGCAAGATGGATGGATGGTATCCTTGAAATGACTGGCTTGACCTTGAAGGAGCTGAGGGTGGTGACCGCTGACAGGGAGCTCTAGCGTGGGCTGGTCCATGAGGTCACAAGAAGTCGGAGGCAACTGAACGAATGAACAACAAAAAATTGATAATTAAATATTTTTCTAAGCCTTCCAGACAGCATTGGATAATAAAGAGAAAAAGAGGTTTGATCTTATAAAAATGTTTACTTTGCAGTGATGCAGGTTGAGTATCCCTTATCCAAAATATATTTTAAAAAAGAATATCCACGATGAGATATTGATGAGACACAAGTCTAAATGTGAAGTCAAAAGTGAAATGTGTACCTAAAACGTCTCTTCATATAACTGTATATGCAGCTAATAGTTGCTTTGGGCTAACTGCATTTTCAGCCCAAGAGTGCATCTGCATTGTTGAATTAATGCAATTTATTTATTGTTATACATTATTTCTACTCTGCTTTTCTTGAACCCAAAGTTGACTCAAGGTGGCTTTACAACATAGGCAGCTGTTCGATGCCATTAAAACAATGTAAAATTACAATAAACGTTTAGAATAGAATTATAAAGTAGATACATTAAAACCTTTTAAAGCATATAAAACCACTACCTTCACTATTAGCCTAGTTGTCCAAAAACACCCTCTAAGCCATTCCAGTATTCAATTTCGCATAGTTCTGTGTTGATCTTGTTCAAAAAGCCATGTTTACACATTTCAGTGGAACGTCTGGAGGGAGGGGGCTGATCTTATATCCCTAGGGAGGGAGCTCCACAGCCAAGGGGCCACCACTGAGAAGGTCCCATCTCTCGTCCCCGCTAGTTGTACCTGAGAAGAAGGTGGGACTAAGAGCAAGCCCTCCCCACATGATCTTAAACTCCTAGATGGTTCATAGGGTAAGCTGGGCCGGAACCGTTTAGGGCTTTAGAGGCTAAAGCCAACACTTTGAATTGTGCTCGGTAGCAAACCGGCAGCCAGCGGAGCGGTGCTCCTTGAACACCGCTCCTGCAGCAATCTGGCTGCCGCCCGTTGGACCTTTTGAAGCTTTCGAACAGTCTTCAAAGACAACCCCATATAGTGCATGTTGCAGTAGTCTATACGGGATGTAACCAGAGTGTGGACTAAAGCTTGACACCATTTTAACTACCATGACTTCATGCTGTGTAATTGCAGGCATTGTTGTTTTACGACGCCTCCTTTGCCAAAGGACCCTTAAAGACAAGCCCAATATCCCAGGATCTGACCCCAGATTTTCTGCTTAATAAATAATTATACTTTATTTATAGACTGCCCTCTTTCCCCAAGTTTTACATACAAAAAGGCAAACATTCAATGCTGTAGCCAACAAAAACGCATAAATAAAAACAATCCAAATTAACACCAATAAACTCATATTGACAAAGGAAATAGAAATTTTAAAACTTTTAAAATACGAATAGTTAAATAAAACATAATTACATAAAATTCTTTACTTGCTTGTTTACTTACTTTTACTTTATCTGGATTAAATGAGTCTGCACTGCCAGATAATCGGGGATAAACAGGAAATCTGGGATAAGATCCTGGGATATACGGCCTGCTGGAAAGTCCCAAAGAGTGCTGGTGACTTACCAAACTTCAACTCCCAGGACTCCATAACATTGAGTCATGGCAGTTTAAAGTGGTATTAGACTGCATTAATTCTATAACATAGCTTCTTCCATTATCGTTATATTTATATAGACAAAAATACCCATAAAGTACTGTTAAATATTTATTTACTGTGTTTGTATACTGCCCCTCTCAGCCCGGAGGCGACTCACGGTGGTTTAATAATTCCCTTGACTTTGGCCTGAGTTTCTGCTGCTGGGAATGTTCATAAATAACACTCAGAAGACAATATTGTTCTTAAGTCTAGCATATCCTCTGCTGTTCTTCAGCATCATTCCAAGCAATTTTAAATGTTATTGAATGTACTGTATACCATAGTTTTATGCTATCTCTCTGGGATCCAAGATCTGTCTGAAAATAATGCTGTTCAGTTGCTTTTTCAGCTATTTTATCAATCACACTCTTTCTCATGTTATTGAGAGTAATGTCACTCAGTTGTTTATATATATATATATATATATATATATCAGGAGCCACTTGAGAAACTGCAAGTCACTTCTGGTGTGAGAGAATTGGCTGTATGCAAGAACGTCCCAGGGGACGTCCAGATGTTTGATGTTTTACCATCCTTGTGGGATGCTTCTCTCATGTCCCTGCATGGGGAGCTGGAGCTGATAGAGGGAGCACAACACACACTTCTTGGATTTGAACCGCTGTCCTGTTGGTCAGCGGTCCTGCCGGCACAACAGTTTACGCATTGCGCCACTGGGGGTTCCTATGTCACTCAGTTAAAGTGGGCTAATTTGAAAGTAGATGTACCAAGAATTACCATCACGTCAAACACAGGGAACCATGATTCATGCTTGCAAAGTAATATCAATTGGTATAAGTGTATGACCTCTCTATTCTGGCTTAGAAAATGTATTGTTGGTGGTATTTGAATCAACAACAGCTATTATTGTCCTTCTACTGGGCTCTTTGTGCAAGGCGGAAGAATAGTTTTATTTTTATAGAGCTGGAAAAAAAACAAACTAGTAAACAAAGCATTCAAAAAAGCTAAGAATCTATTCATACAACTCGTGATATGAAAAATCAGATACAGGCCACCCAGTTGTATATTATGGACTAATTATGTTGGATAAGCCCTCTTTATTTTTTTTTAAACAGGCTTATGACAAGCAAGCTTATATGTGTTCTCCCCCCTTGTTTTCCTGTTTTACATAGATTGTTTTTACTTGGACTTAGAAAAAAATGAACAAAGATGCACAAATGAGAGCAGCTATTAACCAAAAGCTAATTGAAACAGGGGAACGAGAGCGGTAAGTACCATATATTCTAATTCCTATTCTAGCAACAGGAATATAAAGCATTATTTTCTTCAAGGTTGGAAATACATGCCTAGCTGGTGGGGATGGTTAGGGTAATGTTACAACAGAATTTGGTGGTTCAGAGCTTTCCTCATCTCTGTAGTGCTCACTTCCTGTGAGTAAATCCTATTAAATTCAATGGGACAGAGTTCTGAATACACAAGTCCAAGTCAGTGCTGTCAGTGACTATTCTGCTCACATAAAGTGTCCTTGCCATTACATCCTCAAGGATTACAATTCCCATCTACAGCCTACACTAATCCCAGTTGTCCCCCAGCACCCTGGAACAGTTTTGAGGGACAAAGGGGGAAGCACCACGTGTGAACAATTTACACATGGAAAGTTAACAATCCAAAACAGGACCTTCCGTAAATATTCACAATGATTTACACAGAGGAGTTCTTTTTCTTCACTTTCTCTTTTAAGCTTCTCAGGTCTGGTCTGGCACACCTCTTCCTGTGAAATAATGGGTATATAAATCTGAGTCATGGAATCTGCAACCCTCCAGGTGTTGATCAACTATATATTATTTACACTGGGACAAAATAGTTATTAGGAGTCCAAAACGCCTAGAGGACCACAGATTCTTTACTCTCTGCAGCTTTGGAATTGAAGAATGAGCTTGCAGTTGCTTTTAGAATACAGCGGAAAAATCAGGAGTAGAACCCATTTATAGTCAGGATTTCCATTTTCTGTTTGTTAAATTTATATCCTGCCCACTTTGAAAACATTCAAGAGGTTGCACTTAAGTGTGTCTGTCCACCTGTGTTAAGGGTCAAAGTGTTAGGTGATCTAAGCAAGAAGTATGCAATAACTTAACATTTATTGCCATATCGACCTGCAAGAAGTATAGCAGTGATTACAGTGCTAGGACCAAAGAGATCTAGGTTGAAGCATTATTTTAGCATGAGCTTCATGAATTACTACCAATTTCCTGAGATGGAATGGATCATAATATTGCAGCCTTATGTGTGTGTATATATGGTCATGTTTGGGGTCAGAATGTTGTTGGGACACAGAAAATGAAAAGTCGGGATCTCTCAGCTTAACATGTCTAACAGGGTAGTTGCAGGGACCTGTGGATGCAGCCATTACTTCCTTTAAAAATATAAATTAAAAAAATCCTATTTTTATTTTTGCCTTGCCTCTTTTAATCACAAATTGCAAATAATTTGTCGAAATTAATATGCTAGTTCTAATTAATTACATTTTTCAAAAATAGATTTTGTTATTTTAATTGCTAAGTGCCATTTCTATAGATTTTCGAGTATTGATTCTTCACGTTATTTTAATTCATTAGTTGGAATGATTTGAGAGTGGATTGGGTCCTTTTTCATTTAAAGTACTTTTATTTAATGATTTTGTAAGTAACACAATTAAAGATTGATGTTAACAAATTAAACAATTTACGGTTACGGAATTAAATTAATGAAATGCTTCAGCATTAACACAGTGCTGCTAATACTTACTGATGTTGACTTCCTAATTACTAGAGTTTGATCTATGCTGGTTCTGCATCTCCAACATTTGTCTATGATAATCCCCCTTAGATATGGTAGCTTCTATTTCTATGGTTCTATAGTTAATTTCCCCATCAACTTCTGTTTATACCATGTTAACTGACTTCTGCAAATCTCTAATTCCATATCTTTTTACAGCCTTAAAGAATTACTGAGAGCCAAATTAATTGAATGTGGTTGGAAAGACCAGTTGAAGGCACACTGTAAAGGTAATTTTGAGCCTAATCTCCATTTCAAAAGTGATAGTGAATTTATCAAACCAATATTTGTGGAATTGAATACTCAAATACATGATTTTTTAAAAATAATGACAGACCAAGAATTGAATGCTCGTTTTGCACAACCATTCTAGCCTCGGAAATTTCACAGGTGAGAACTGTGACATGTGGCTAAGGTTCATCAAAGTTTGGTCAAAATGGCAGAAATTTTTAGGGGGGAGAGGGAAGAAAACCCAAGCTAGGAGAGGTTTTAGCAGTTTCTTTTTGCCTGAGGTTACGATATCGCCCCCCTCTCGTTTTCTCTCTCAAGCTGAGCTTTATTGAGTGGACTTTGCACTTTCGAATTTTGAACACTTTGCAGAAACTGAATTAAGCTGACAACGAAGAGGAGAAGGAGAAGAGAGAAACCAGGACATTTTAAAAACAGCTGAAAAGGTGGAATGATAGAGAATTAATTTAGACTGGTCCTGTTAAATCAGGACAATTGAAGGGCATGCTGTTAATGCTGAAAAATAGAATGGAAATAGAAAGATGTTCTTGATTTGAATTTGAAGAATCTTTCATCCAGGAGGGGGATAACATTATACAGTGTATAGTATTGAAATAAATATCCAGACTTCTTCTCAGTCCATGGAAAGTTGTAAAGACTGATAGGGTGTTATTTTCCATCTGTGTAAAAACCGGTGTTTGATTCTTTTGACTTTGCTTAGAGGTCATCAAGGAGAAGGGATTAGAACATGTCACAGTTGATGATTTGGTGGCAGAAATCACCCCAAAAGGCAGAGGTAAGGAAAATAACATTGACAAGCCTCAGATTCTTACTTCAATGACTTGTATGTTATTTATATCATAGACAAGTTAGGGAAAGTTACATTTTAATTGCAGCTCCCCAAAACTTTCTAATAGTGTCGTCACTGACTGTCCTGGCTGAGGTGTAATGTGAGCTGTATTTCAAAAAAAGTAATTTTCCCAGACTTTGATTTTGACATTTCTTTAACCATAGGCCCTACTATATGGTATGCATGGGGTGCCTGACCCATATTCAATTTCTATTTTCCATTTACAACGGTTCTTGGGATCGTCTCTTTCATCTTGATACATTATTAAAATATGCCCATCAACAAAATTGCTAAGGAATATGAGTCTCCTGTTGGGAAAAGGGAAGAATATAAATAAATTAAAAGGAACTCTTATGAACATTATCATACAATATACAATTTTGTAAAAAAGAAAACTTACCTAAATTTTAAGAAAAATTAAATAATTAAAACAGTATATATTCACTGGCAACCATTTTCATGCATCAACTGTGAAGATGCATCCTCAGTCATGTTGGAAGACAGGCATCCTGGTCAGTGGTAACCAAGTGATATTTGTGTTGATGTTTACAGAGATATAAGCTTATATTATTTCATTCATCCTCCAAAGTCCTGAAGGTGGTAAATATCTACTCACCTTGACATTATCTACAGGACAATGGGCGTCATAGTTGAAGTGGGAAGCCCCCTCCCTCCTGACCTTCAGGAAACAAGTAAAAACATGGCTTTGGGACAATGTTTTTGGACAATAGTGGTGTGAAATAAGTAAAGTAGACTTATGTGCAATAACAGCAGGAATGGCCTTTGACTATGTCCTCAGATTACGTGATTTTAGAATTGCGTTTAATGTTTTATTGTTTTTAATTTGTTTTAATATACATGTCTATTTTCTATTGTCTATGGACAGCATCAAATTGCTGCCAATTGTAAGTCCACTCCAAGTCCCCTTTGGGATTCGGAAGAGCAGGATACAAATATATTAAATAAATAAATACATTTGAACCTAGATCTCATAATAATAACAGCAACAACAATAACAGCAGCAACAACAACTTTATTTTTATATCCCACTGCCATCTCTCCGAAGGGATTCAGGGTGGCTTATAAACAGCACAGAGTGCCTAAAAATAAACATAAAAGTGAAGACAATATAAAATACAATAAAATAAAATGCAAGCACATAAAAAACATCAATTCAGACTCAAGCTGTGATCCTCTAACCGTGACGGTAACTTACTGGCACCATGGCCAGGCTGTAAACATTGGAATAAAATAAATGCCACTTCAGTAATGGAGAGGACATGGAACTAAGTGCAGGATGTGTGACTACTACATAGGACAACTAGGAGTTAAATATTCTCAAAGCTTGATTGAAGAGCCACGTCTTCAAGTCCCTACGAAAGGAGTACAGTGTGGGTGACCTGTGACCTGTTGTCACCTATCAGGTGTTCAACAGTTCTGCCTTTTTATATTTGCCATTCCAGGTAAAGAGGAGGTATCAAATATACATTAGGGTGTGTACATATTTTTTATTTGGGAATGTTTGCCTGGCCATAGGTGTAGTCTTGGGGTCTTTATTTTCTGGTGAATGTGTGCATGTGAAATTGCATTTCTCATACTTTTTCCTTGTCTTCATCTTCCTCTCTTCCAGCCTTGGTGCCTGACAGTGTAAAGAAAGAGCTCCTACAAAGAATAAGAACATTCCTTGCTCAGCATGCTAGCCTTTGATTCTTCTGTTTGAGTCGTACCATATTCTGTTACGTGAATTATGCCAGAAACTGGGACATCTATTCCATACTTTGGGGTTGAAGTTCACTTTTTTTTAATGTTTGATTACTGAAAGCATACTTTATTACATTGAGTTCTTAATCTTGGTATTTTAATAAAAATAATAATAACCAGAATTAACCTTTGGGATGTATTTTGGAAAGAAATCACATGTCTTGCCATTAAAAGGATGTTGTGCGTCTTAACACAGTTGGCATGTGTCTGTGTTTTTCCCATCTCTTTTAAAGACACTCAAAACACGAGAGTACCTCCTTAACCCTTGGGGTTTAATTACAAAATAGTCCAGTAGCAAAGCAAAAAGAAGGAAATGTATCTATGGGATATTCAAGAGGACAGAATACTGGAGTAAAAGGGGGAAAGTACCTTACATCCCAGTAATCTTAGAATCATAAGAGTTGAAAGAGACTCCAAGGGCCATCCAGTCCAACCCCCTTCTGCCATGCAAGAAATTGTAGTCAAAGCACTCCCAACGGATGACCATCTAGTCTCTGCTTAAAAAACCTCCAGAGAAGGGGATTCCAAGGCAGCATAGTTCAGTGCTTTTCTCTGGATACATTCCAGCATGTCAATATACTTCTTGAATTGTGGTTCCCAGAACAGTCTTCCAAGTAGCGTCTGATCAAAACAGAACGGAGTGGGACTATTTTTGTGTGTGTCAGGAGCGACTTGAGAAACTGCAAGTTGCTTCTGGTGTGAGAGAATTAGTTGTCTGCAAGGATGTTACCCAGGAGATGCCCAGATGTTTGATGTTTTACCATCCTTGTGGGAGGCTTCTGTCATGTCCCTGCATGGGGAGCTGGAGCTGACAGAGGGAGTTCAGCCTTCTCTCCCTGGATTCGAACTGACCTATCAATCAGCAGTCCTGCCAGCACAAGGGTTTAACCCATTGCGCCACCGTGGGCTCAGTGGGACTATGACTTCCCTTGATCTAGACATCTATACTATTAATGCAGCCCAGGACTGCATTGCCACATTGCAATGTTGACTCGTGTTCAGCTTGCTCCATTCTGTCTACTTGCAATCTTTGACAATTTACCAATTAGTACTTTGGGTAAGGATGAACTTAAAGAATCATGTCTACAGTAAAGCAATGAGATGTGGAGGTATGTGGAGTTGCCATGGTAATAGAAACCAAATTAAGGTAATGCACAATTCAATTTGAACCATGCACAAAATTAATATTACTGCTTTGACATTACGATCAGATTGAGAAATGACCTTAGAAATCAAATTTTCTTCTAGCATTTAAAGTCTGTCAACAGGTCTGGTCTGGGGGTGGGAATATTCAAGTATATATAGCCATAAAAGCTGTACATTTTTAAATATATAGCTTTTATAAAATAGACTAGTATTTTATTGCCATATGGGAATATTCTTTTAATTTGGGTTGCTGTAAATTTTCTGGGCTGTATTTAATGGTAATTTTAATTTTCTATAAGGGAGCATCCATATAACTCTTTTGGGTTGTTTTAATCATTGGTTTTATATTATAGTGTATGTTTTGAAGATGTTTTGAGCTGCCTTGGGTCTGCTGGAGAAAGGCAGCAAAGAAATTCCCGAAACTTATATAAATAAAAATATAATGTTCATTTGTGGGATTAACATAACTAAAAAACCAGTGGACAAATTGCTGCCAAATTTGTCCACAAGACACCTACTAACACAAGGAGCGACCATCACTAAAAAAATTGGATTTTGTCATTTGGGAGTTGTAGTTGCTGGGATTTATAGTACATCTATAATCAAAGAGCATTCTGAACTCCACCAATGATGGAATTGAACCAAATGTGGCACACAGGAACCCCCTGAATAGCAGAAAATACTAGAAAGGTTTGGTGGGCATTGACCTTGAGTTTGCGAGTTGTAGTTCACCTACATCCACAGAGCACTTTGGACTCAAACAATGATGAATCTGGACCAAACTTGGCATGAATATTTCATATGAATATTTCATAGGCAGTGCAATGAATATAGGAAAACGGAACTATGGATGACGAGCTGGATCATGGCTCTAGTTATGAGACGCTAATGAGTTGTTTATTGATGTGTAATTATTTAGTGTATTATTGTGTTAATTGTTTTTAAATGGTTTGTATGATGCTAGCATCGAATTTTTGCTGCTGCTGTTGTTAACCGCGTTGAGTTGCCTAAGGGCTGAGAAACAGCGGTATACAAACAAAGTAAATATGAACACAGATGGAGTTTGGGGGAAATGGACCTTGACATTTGGCTGTTAGGAATTGTGGGAGTTGGAGTCCAAATCACCTGGAGAGCCCAAGTTTGTCCTGTTAGGAATTGTGGGAGTTGGAGTCCAAAACACCTGGAGGACCCAAGTTTGCCCTGTTAGGATTTGTGGGAGTTGGAGTCCAAAACACCTGGAGGACCCAAGTTTGCCCTGTTAGGAATTGTGGGAGTTGAAGTCCAAAACACCTGGAGGGCCCAAGTTTGCCCTGTTAGGAATTGTGGGAATTGAAGTCCAAAACACCTGGAGTGCCCAAGTTTGCCCTGTTTGGAATTGTGGGAGTTGGTGTCCAAATCACCTGGAGGACCCAAGTTTGCCCTGTTAGGAATTGTGGGAGTTGGTGTCCAAATCACCTGGAGGACCCAAGTTTGCCCTGTTAGGAATTGTGGGAGTTGAAGTCCAAAACACCTGGAGGGGCAAAGATTGCCCTGTTAAGAATTATGGGAGTTGAAGTCCAAAACACCTGGAGGGCCCAAGTTTGCCCATGCCTACACTATAATATGAAATTTTCTTCCATATCTATATTTCCAGAAGATCTTTAGGAAGAGGCCAAGACTGTTAAAGCCATTGATCACACTGGCATTGCAGCCAACTGGGCTGGAGTGCCAGTCACGTGACCAAGGTGCACTGCCTCTTTAAGGAAGCCGCAGGCCAACCTTTCCTGTCTCCAACCCTCTCGCTGCGGGAGAAGGGAAGGCTCCTTCTCACGCATGCGCACAAGTCGTTCTCCCACACCATTCCTAGTCCCTGCCTGTCATTCTTCTTTGCTGATTCCATTGGTCGAAATGGCCTGGCAGCGTGGCCGGAAGAGGCGGGGCTAGAGCAGCGGGTCTCCCCGGGTGACGGGGCTGTGAGGCGGGCTTGGCAGCGGCCTAGCGGAAAGGATGGCCCGGACTGAGCAGGAGACCTCGCCCGCTTTTGAATGAAGGGAGCCCGCGGTCGCCGAGGGAAGCGGCTCCCCCTCGGCCTTCAACCCGCTGGGCGCCAGGGAAGGTGAGCCGGGCCGTGGTGCGGGTTCTTCAGCCTTCTCCGCCAGAAGTGGTATCAAACCGCATTACTTGTGCAGTGTAGATGCACCCAAATCAAAAGGGCTGCTGAGGCAGTGGCTGGCAATGAAAGAACGACTTCCTGTCTCCAACAGATTTCTCCCAAATTTCTATCCCTTTAAAAATGCAGTTTAGGTACCTAACGAAATTAAGGTGGGGACAGATACTGAGGGGACGCAAACACAGCAAAATAAGGAGTGGGTTGCTGTGAGATTTCAGGGCTGTATGGCCATGTTCCAGAAGCATTCTCTCCTGACGTTTCGCCCACATCTATGGCAGGCATCCAAAGAGGTTGTGAAGTCTTGTTGGAAACTAGGCAAGTGAGGTTTATATATCTGTGGAATATTATTTGGGAACACAGAAATGCTGGACCACTCTTAACCACCATGTCAGGCTACACAGAGAAGCCATCCATAAGCATGTGGACAATTTCAACAGAAAGGAGGAAACCATGAAAATGAACAAAATCTGGCTACCACTATTTAAAAAAAACTCTAAAATTACAACAGCAAAACAGCAGAGAGGAAACAGTCAGGGACATCTAATCAATTCTCAACAAAAGATTGCCCCATCAAATGCTAATCAAGGTGGTCAGTTAGTTGAAACATTCACACCTAGCTCCAACAGACAAGAGTTCTTTGTCCCACCCTGGTCATTCCACAGATATATAAACCCACTTTCCTAGTTCCAACAGACCTCACTACCTCTGAGTAGGTCATGCTTGCCATAGATGCAGGCGAAACATTAGGAGAGAATGCCTCTAGAACAGGGGTTCTCAAACTAAGGCCCYGGGGCCGGATATGGCCCTCCAAGGTCATTTACCCGGCCCTCGCTCAGGGTCAACCTAAGTCTGAAACAACTTGAAAGCACACAACAACAACAACAACAACAATCCTTTCTCGTCAGCCAAAAATAGTCCCACACTTCCCATTGAAATACTAATAAGTTTATTTTTGTTAAAATTGTTCTTCATTTTAATTATTYTATTGTTTTAAGTGATTTTTGCACTACAAATAAGATATGTGCAATCTGCATAGGAATTCATTCATGTTTTGTTTTTGTTTTTTTTTGTTTTTTGTTTTTTTAAATTATAATCTGGCCCTCCAACAGTTTGAGGGACTGTGACCTGGCCCTCTGTTTAAAAAGTTTGAGGACCCCTGCTCTAGAACATGGCCATATAGCCCGAAAAAACCTACAACAACCCAGTTATTCCAGCCATGAAAGCCTTCGACAATAGATATGTAATGTCCAAGGTGGGAGAAAGAATAATAGAATCATAGAGTTGGAAGAGACCTCATGGACCATCAGTCCAACCCGCTGCCAAGAAGTAGGAAAATCTCATTCAAAGCACCCCTGACAGATGGCCATCCAGCCTCTGTTTAAAAGCTTCCAAAGAAGGAGCCTTCACCACACTCTGGGGCAGAGAGTTCCACTGCTGAACGGCTCTCACTGTAAGAAAGTTCTTCCTAATGTTTAGATGGAATCCTCTTTCTTGTAGTTTGAAGCCTTATCTGCTTGAGGCAAGTGTGAATATTGCAATTGGACACCTTGATTAGCATTAAATGGCCTTGCAACTTCTAGACCAAGCTGATTCCTGCCTGGGGGAATCCTTTGTTGAGACGTGATTCACTGGCCCTGATTGATTCTTGTCTTTGAGTCCCCCTAGGGGTGAGGAATCTGGAATTCCCTTGTTTTTCATAGAATGGTAGAATCATTGAGTTGGAATAAACCTCGTGGGCCATCCAGTCCAACCCCCTACCAAGAAGCAGGAAAGTCACATTCAAAGCATTCCCGACAGATGGCCATCCAGCCTCTGCCTAAAACCCTCCATAGAAGGAGTATCCACCACAATCTGGGGCAGAGAGTTCCACTTCTGAACAGCTCTCATAGTCAGGATGTTCTTCCTAATGTTCAGATGGAATCTCCTTTCTTGTAGTTTGAAGCCATTGTTCCATGTCCTAGTCCCCTGGGCAGCAGAAACCAAGCTTGCTCCCTCCTCCCGATGACTTCCCCTCACATATTTATACATGGCTATCATGTCTCCTGTCAGCCTTCTCTTTGAAGGCTAATGATGTTTTTGGTTACTGCTAGATTGATATTTTAGATTGTGTCTTGAATTTTGAACCTGTTTTTCTATGTTGTACACCGCTGTGAGTCGCCCCCGGGCTGAGAACAGCGGTATATAAGCAAAGTAAATAAATAAATAAATAAATAACCAGTTCTTTAAGCCGCTCCTCATAGGGCTTGTTCTCCAGACACTTGATCATTTTAGTCGCCCTCCTCTGGACACATTCTGACTTGTCAACATTTCCCTTCAATTAGAATCATAGAGTTGGAAGTGACCTCATCGGCCAATTGTGGTGGTGTTCTTTCTTTGCTGTTCTGATTTTAGAGGGTTTTTTTAATACTGGCAGCCAGGTTTGATGAACCAACTTGGACAAAGCATATTATTTTAAAACACAGAAATGTTTGACCATTCTAACAACCGCCATGTCAGGTTACAAAGAGAAGCCATTGAAATCCACAAGCATGTGGACAATTCCAACAGAAAGGAGAAAACCATGAAAATGAACAAAATCTGGCTACCAGTATTAGATGTGGGCTAAACGTCAGGAGGGAATCCTTCTGAAACATGGCCATATAGCCGAGAAAACTCACAGCAACTCAGTGATTCCAGCCATGAAAGCCTTCAACAACACAAAATAAGGAGTTCTACTGAGAAAGATTTTCAATATTTCAGTCTGCAATTCTGGAAATTTGGATACAGAAGATAGTTTCACTTCAATACAGTTTTCAGGAAATTGTCATATTAATTTTGGGGTGCCCTAGGTAAAGGTAGTCCCCTGACATTAAGTCTAGTAATGTCTGACTCTGGGGTGCGGTGCTCATCTCCATTTCTAAGCCGAAGAGCCGGCGTTGTCCGTAGACACCTCCAAGGTCATGTGGCCGGCATGACTGCATGGAGCGCCCTAGGTGCCTTTTTCCCCTGAAAAGCTGGGTATGATAGAATCATAGAATTGGAAGAGGCCACACCCCTTGCCATGATGGAAAAGCACAAAGCACCCCTGACAGATGGTCATCCAGCCTCTCTTTGAAAATTTCCAAGGAAGAAGCTTCCACCACCCACCCCCATAACTACACCCATAATGCATCCTAGATCTTTAGCTGTTACTCTGGCATACAGAATAGATTTTTTCTGACGAGACATCTTTCGTATCACCACAAAAATATAGCTGCTTAAATGATGCATACCTCAGCTTTCTCACAGATCACAACATCTTATCTTCACTATTCACCTCCATTCATATTTATTTTGAGCATAAGTTGACCAGTGTACCATTATATGATCATTTTCATCTCTCACATACTGAGGGGATGCAAACACAGCAAAATAAGGAGTTCTAGTGAGAAAGATTTTCAACATTTTACTCTCTGCAATGCTGAAAATTTGGCTACAGAAGACAATTTCATTTGAATACAGAATTTTCAGGGAATTTCATATTAATTTTGGGATGCCTTAGGAGCCTTTTTGGCTCAAGAGCTGGGCATCAGTATTCCAGAGAATAATAATAGTAAAACTTTATTTATATCCTGCCCTATCTCCCCAAGGGGACTTAGGGCAGTTTGCAACAAGTTACAGCAAACCTTCAGTGTCATACAATACTAAACAAAGAACAAACTCACCAAAACAAAATCATACCCAACATTCACATCCAAATAATAATAAAGACGGCACCAAACATTACCAATGACATAATTCAGTTATGTTTTCACAGTTAAAAATTAATAATATAATGGAGGATTAAAACTGATAGAGATCAAAACTTTAAAAAATGTTACAAGCCAACGTAGCCAGAGTGACAAGTCATTTCCGTTCTGTAGTATTTAAGCATCGATCTTCTATGCCTCCTCTATGCTTCCCTCCTCCATAACTACACCCATAATGCTTCCTAGGTGTTTAGCAGTATCTCTGGCATACAGAATAGATTTTTTCCTGACATGTTGGTTGACATCTTTAGTATCACCACAAAAATATATATGCTTAGATGATGCATTCCTCAGCTTTCACGCAGATCACATCTCTATTTGCCTCTATTCTTATCAATTTCAAGCACAAGTTGACTAGTGTACCATTGTACAACCATGTTTCTCTCTCGCATTATACATCATATAGAATGAATCAGTCCATCAGGTTGGAGGATGCCCAAAAGGTCTCGTCCATCTCCATTTCCCTCACCCATCTGTTCTGTGCCTCACATGGCCTGCAAAGCGAGTTGGGCAACATGGCATAGAGGATCTTTCACTTTTGATATTTTTCAAACATCCTCATTGTGCAATCCACATTCTCATTAATAGCGATGTTGAAGAAAAAATGTTATAAAGATAAACTTCCTCAGAATTACAATATGGTGTCATGGTACAAGTTCGGATTTGCTACTTGGTAAATCCATGTTCTAGGGTATACTGGGCCATTACATCTCTGAGTTAGTCATACACTCTCTCAGCCTTAATTACATCTTAAATTTCAATTTTTGGCAAGGTGTTGCCCCTGCATTGTTCGCACTGCTATTATCGTTGAAGCATAATGTTGCTAACTTCACTGAAAGTTTCTCTTGTATTTCACAATACTCCTCCACTCTTGGGGTCTTCAATTCTGTAAGGGTTGTATATAATACTTTGGGGGGGGGGGTGCATTTTCCTTTGCAAGTATTAGCTGTTAGGGTTGTATATATATTGGGAAAACTGTATGGGAAAACTGTATGATAATGGTACCTGTGAAATTAAGAGGGGCTACTGCATCAGAAAGCATGAGAAGTGCCTAATGATGAAAGTCAGAAGCCACTTCATGATGGTATAACATAAACACTGATACAATTAGTGTTTGTATCTTGCCTTTCCTACAGTGGGCTTAAGGCAGCAAGCATGTATGGCTTCCTTTCTAACAATTTTCCAAAGCAGATTAGAGAGAGAGAGAGCACACAAAGTTTAATGGGCCAGTATGGACTTGAACATGTACCTTCCAAGTAGCGAACCTGAAATTGAATCATTACACTGCATTGTGTCTTCATTTTAGTAAACCTCTCAGATGTTTGTCATGTAGAAAAAAATCCACCCCAGGTGCCTTTTAAAAGTGATATTGGTGAGTTTCATTGGTTGAAACTTCTTATCCGGGATAACATAAACTAGAGAATGCATTGTGTTGTTGTTGTTCATTCGTTCAGTTGCTTTCGACTCTTCGTGACCTCATGAAGCAGCCCACGCCAGAGCTCCCTGTCGGCTGTCACCACCTCCAGCTCCTTCAAGGTCAAGCCAGTAATTTAAAGGATGCCATCCATCCATCTTGCCCTTGGTCGGCCCCTCTTCCTTTTTCCTTCCATTTTCCCCAGCTTCCTTGAAATTAAAAAGCCTTTGCTGGGACTAGCTAACAAATACTTAACAGCTTCTAGACCCACATACCTATTTCTAGAGAGTTGAAGTCCAAAACAGACTTCCAGATAAGCAGACTTCACATACAGAAACAAAACTTCCTGGGTTGGACTTATTTATATCTGGCTGCAGACAACCCCAGTTTTCATTGAATACATCAAATATATATTTACCTGGTGTCTGAGAACCAAGACTCAATAGGCCCCTTCAAATGCCGTTCTCCTAGCATATTGAGAACACTGGGCATTAATAGAATTTTGTTTTGTATTGACTTGTAATTCTGGCTCACTATGAGCATTTTTATACAGTTTATTTGGCTTTTTTGCAATCATAAAGATCCACAGAAGTACTTCAGAATCAGCAACATTATTGTATGGATGGGAATATCTGTTGTTGTTGTTGTTCATTCGTTCAGTCGTCTCCGACTCTTCGTGACCTCATGGACCAGCACACGCCAGAGCTCCCTGTCGGCCGTCACCACCCCCAGCTCCTTCAAGGTCAGTCCAGTCAATATCTATGTGACCTATAAATATAGCATATAATAAAGGAAGCCAGGTGTATATTAGAATGTATGCATGCCTGGGAACTTCGTTTCATCTTAAGAATCATCAACAAGACAGGATTGCGAGAATACCATACTGTGTATGTGAGATGTTACCGTTTCCTAGAAGGTGCTCTTATTGTTTGATGTTATTAAGATAGCAGGCAACCAAGGACTCCAACTGTACCTGAGGTATTCTCAGATCTACATATGTTTCTTGTGATTGGAAGAGGTGTAAGTAATAACAGCTAAGACATTTGATTTTATTATTTGATTACATAACTGATACTCTGGGTGAGGTTAAGGATAGAACAAGAGAAGCCAAGAAAGAGTCACTGATTTGACTACCATTTTGCAAGTTTTGCATTGTATGAAGGGAAGACAACTGTCACCTTCAAGTTATGTTGCTCCTGATAGACTGATTGCCTGCCCAACATGCTGTGAAACATACTTTCTCAAGATGAAAGGGTTAATTGTTCCTTCACAAAAGATTTCCACATGACCTTTCCACATTTCAGTCTAGTTATTAAAGAGCTCTATTTAATTAATTGAGACAAATCACATTAGAACAGACGCCTATGAATTATCTTGTCAGCCACTCATTCTGCTTCTGTGGATTCAACCTGTACCTGTTGTAAATATATGAAACTGCCAAGATAACTAAACTGAGGATGCATCTACACTGGAGAATTCATGCCGTTTGGCATCATTTTAATAACCATGTAAATTTACAACAGAGGTTTACAAGGTCTCTAGAATTCTATACCAAAGAGTACAGGTGCCCCGCCAAACTACAAATCCCAAAATTCCATAGCATTGAATCATGGAAGTGATGTCAAACCACATTAACTCTGCAGTCTAGATGCCCCTTGAAACTGTCATATTCTGAATTTGACTTACTAGAAATGGCAGTAGTGATTGCTAACGTAGAAGACAGTAGGAAAAGAGAAAGATGTATAAATATACGTGATTTACTAATTTTGTGGATTTTTGGATTGGGTGGGTGTAGGTAACTGTAACATTTGAGTGTTCTAAAGTTAAATATTCATTTTCTTTTACGTGGATTGTCTGCCACCCTTCTTTTGTTGGCTGCACATTGCTGTAACTAGTAAAACTGGTTAGTTGAGAAATGTTCTTGGTGTTTAACAATTTTATTATTGTTATCTTTAGATAACTGTTCTTGAGCTTTGCCATTTAAAGGACACTGCTATGAGATTCTGAATTTCTCCCTTATCTGAACAGCAGACTAAAGATGCATGGGTCCCCTATGTCAACTGTTGTATTTTTACAGCTTTCTGGGGCAAATCTTCTGACTGTACTGCAACAGAGCTTGCATATTTTTTCTACAGTCATTTAAATTTCCTTATATTTAAAGAAACTGTTTACATTTAAAAAAAAAAAGAAAACAACACTGTTCAAAAGAACTTCTGTATTAATCTTTACTCCGAAGCATACCACTAACCACTAGATGTCATTAAAGTCAGTAGGGTTACTATTTAATAACTTTTGCTTAGGACTGAGTTTTTAAGACATGTTATAATTATTTGAAAGAAAAATAGTCGTACACCAGCCCTGTAGCACCTAATAATTTATATCAGTATGTATCAGTAAGTATACTAGTAATCTTGCAATACTATTTAATCTCTTTATTATCATAGAATCATATACATGAAGTGCAGTCCAGTCACTTTATTTAAATGTTGTTTAATTTTAATTTTGTTTAAATAACTATATTCTTAATTATCTCTGCTGTGTTTACAGAGGCAACTTAAATGATCTAAAAAGTAAACCTGTAAGAATTATAATGTGGCAGCACATAAAACAAACTAATAATTTGTGGGCCACAGTTGAGATAAAGGCAGTCCCCGAGTTACAAACATCTGACTTACAAACGACAAGTTAACAATAGGTGTGAGGCAACAGAAAGTGAGATAAATCTACTCATTGGAAGGGAAATTCACTCCTGAAAGAGTTATCTTGGGGGAAAAGTGTTGCCACTGAAGATTGATCACTAATCTTGTTTCCACAGCAAGCCAAATGTTTCAATATCCAATTATCACAGTAACAGAAACTGAGGTGAAATCTTCTGAACAGGGGCACAGACAGAAAAAACAAGCACCACAGGGGTGTGAATCCCTTCCCTGTGCTATCTAAAGCTAATATATATGGCTGGAGTTGCACTTAAAATGTACTATTCTAACATACATACAAATTCAGTTTAAGAACAAACCTACAGAACCAATCTTGTTTGTAACTTGGGGACTGTTTGTATATGAAAATATGGAATTATTTATTGCTAATGCTACTACAAATTTGATCTTGTTTGAGTATTGTATTGAATTTCCATACACTCTGCAACCTTTGGTTGAGACCCACCTGAATATTCTCATAAAACTTTATCATTATTGCTATTTCTACTTGGATAAAGACATTGAAAACAAGTTATGATGTTCTTAGTTTAGTTGCAGTTTTGCAGATATGGACTAGGATTTACTAACTTTTATAAAAGACTCTTCCTAGTCATGCAAATACAAATGTAGATACCTTCAGCCTTTCCTATTCAACATAGTCATATTAACAGATGTACTGCCATTCTCCACCATCAGATAAAGTATCTAATATAAAGATGTATTATATTTGTAAGCATGCCCTTCTTTCTTTTCGCAGACAAAGACTTTCATCATGGCCATTACACAGTTCCGTCTGTTTAAAATTTGTACTTGCCTGGCAGCAGTATTGTCTTTTTTTAAGAGGTTAATATGCAGGTAAATAGAAAATCTTGCTTTTGACTTGGTTTAACAGGGACATTTCTTTAATTTTCCTTTCTCCGTTTTCTTTTTACCAAAAGTTGTTCTCTTTCTAACTCTTTTACATGTGAAATTTTTGAACGTTGTACCGTCTTTTTAAAAATCTAATTGTTTTCTTTAATTTGAGATTTAGCATTAACTCACCTTTGGTTTTGTGATGACAATTATTTTCTTTAGTTTTTTTACCCATATATCTTCTTTACTGTCTCCATAATATTCTTGAGAGAGAGTTTTCTGAAATTTCTGAAGGGGGGGGGGGAGTTAAGATCGTTAGCAACTTAGAAATTATTTGAAACCAGGGGAGAAATTCTTAACATGGTAAAACTATTTTGGAAATAGTATTCTACAAAAGCAGCAAGGAATCATGGGACGTCTCTAAAATTACACATTTCTTCTGCTTTAATATTTGTAGTTAATCATTAGATAATGTCTTTGTGAGATCATCAAGCGAGTTCTGACAGATTTTTTTGCCAACATTTTCAGTTAGGAAGAATATTGTATTTCTTTTTCAGGACTGGAAGGGGGCGAAAACTCAGTGGAGACCAAATAACGCTGCCTACTACTGTAGACTATTCATCTGTTCCAAAACAGGTAATATCTAAGAGCCTAGAGATTAATCATTAAAGAGTAGCTCTGCCAAATGGTACAGTGAAATACAGATTAACATTAATGAGTACTTACTTTGAACTAAAAAGTTGAAGTCTTGTTGTTGGCTCTTTTTAGTCAGAAGTTGAAGACTGGACTTCTTGGGATGAAGATGCACCTACAAGTGTAAAAATTGAAGGTGGCAATGGCAATGTTGCCAATCAGCAAAATGGTCTGGAAGAAATGGAACCAGACTACTTTAAGGATATGACACCGACGATAAGGAAAACACAGAAAGTAAGTTTCTAGCACTCATAATACTTTAAAATGTGACACATTGCCTTGTGAGGTAGTTATTAAGATTTAGCAGCAGTACTTTGTCCACAGAAAGTGAATTCTATATACAGATCTATGGATCAGCTGCATTGATTTTCTGTTGTACTGTGTGTGAGAACATCACTGTATCTGATGGATGCTTATGTTGCTTAATATTTTTTACTCAGTGGCTATCTACAGTTGTGTCAGATTCAGTAGCAAGGATTCTTACTCCTTACTCCTTCTGAAGACAAATTGGGACATTTTAGAAAAAGTTAGCTCTGTTTTATGTGTTGTCGAAGGCTTTGATGGCTGGAATCACTGGGTTGCTGTGAGTTTTCCAGGCTCTGTGGCCATGTTCCAGAAGCATTTTCTCCTGATGTTTCACCCGGATCTATGGCAGGCATCCTTGGAGGTTGTGAGGTCTGTTGGAAACTAGACAAATGAGTATCTCTGGAATGTCCAAGGTGGGAGAAAGAAGTCTTGTCTGTTTGAGGCAAGTGTGAATGTTTCAATTGACCACCTTGATTAGCATTAAATAGTCTTGCAGCTTCAAAACCTGGCTGCTTCCTGCCTAGGGGAATACTTTATTGGGAGGTGTTAGCTAGCTCCGATTGTTTCTTGTCTGAAATTCCCCTGTTTTATAAGTGTTGCTCTTTATTTACTGTCCTGATTTTAGAGTTTTTTAATACTGGTAGCCAGATTTCATTCACTTTCATTATTTCTTCCTTTCTGGTGAAATTGTCCACATGTTTGTGGATTTCAGTGGCTTCTCTGTGTCGTCTGACATGGCAGTTGTTAGAGTGGTCCAGCATTTCTGTGTTCAGGTTGGTTCATCAAGTGCTCTGCATTGGCTGAATTCTCTGGTTGAATTAGTCTGCAGTGCTTTCATGTTCCTTGATTTGTGTTTGTGAGCTGCATTAGCACTGTTTTGTTTTGTATCACATATGTTTACATCATTTCCTTATCAGTTTTTATGAGTATCATTTCTTTTGTATGAAGGTAGAAGTTAATAGTGCAAAACACCTTGCATCTGTTTTATAAAAAGAAGCTTTAAAATTAAAATCGTAAGGTAGACAAAATCTCTAGACAGGTCTAGTTAATAAATATTTATTTGAATTGAATGAGACTGAGATATATGCAGATGTATGTAATGCTGTTTCTTCCCATTATTAGTTATACTGAGTCTTCCTCTCAATCTATCAAGTAGGCAGACAGAGCTTGCAATATACCCTTGGATTTATAACCTTACGGTGTTTCCCATTAAGAGTACTGCCTTGCTTTCTACTAGGAGTAAAGACTGTCATGTTGCAGATGAGAGAGCTGCAACAGCTTAAATCAATCCAATGCCTTGATGTCATGAAGCACATCCAAGAAAAATGAAAAAAGGATGGGATATCCCCCAAAAATCTGGAAATACTGTATCGAAAAAGGCTGACTTAATTCAGAATGAATGGTGATTCGTCATAAAGCTGAAGCTTTCGTGTACTTTCCCTGCCTTTTTTCATAGATGTAAAGGGAGAATCAGAAGGGGCTGTTTCCATATTCCAAATCACAATTTCCCATTATATTAAGACCTTCAATACTGTTTTGATTAAACTGTAGTGTGTCAAAATCAAGGTCGAAAATATAGTCAGATCCTGGATTTTTCTTTGTTTACACAAATAATCGTTTCCCAAATTCAAAAGTGGAAGCAGATTCTTCAGATCGTCTCATAACATGAATGGAGATGAGTTGGAAATTGACATAATGAATCTGAAACATCTGAAACAGGCTATTCAGTTGGAAGCAGTGTATGAGCTCAGGCCTTTTTTAAAAAAAGAAGTAGGCAGATATTTCATGAGGGAACCATTGTTGTGGACAACAGTTAAGTTAGTGTATTTGAAATCTTCCTAATTAGTTTTCTATACAATTGCAGTATTTGTAATTCGTTGCAATTCTTTTCTTCTTTAATATTATCTTTCAGATCATCATTAAAAAACGTGACCCCCTAACTTTTGGTAACCAGGATGGCACGGCAGGATTTTCTAGCAGATTAGCAGCTACGCAAGATGTTCCTTTTATTCACCAGTCTGTAAGTATCTTTTCTATCCTGATCATTTTTATTTTCTCCGCAGAGAAGAAAGTATAGGTTGAGTATTCCTTATCCATTTGGCCCGGCCATAGGTTTTTTAAATCCTTGTGTGTTATTGTTTATTGTTTATATGTGATTTATATTAACTGTATTGCATTGTATTGTTTTTGTTTATTGCTTTCTTGTTTTTATTGATGTGTTGTTGGGCTTGGCCTCATGTAAGCCGCTCCGAGTCCCTTAGAGAGATGGTGGCGGGGTATAAATGAAGTTTTATTGTTATTATTAACTGGAATGCTTTGAATTTCAGATTGCTTTGGATTTTGGAATACCTGTTTTTGCATATATGTACATAATGACATGTCTTGGAGGGGGGGGGGCAAGAATATACATTCTCATTTAATTTTTATATACACCCAACACATATAGCCTGAAGGTAATTTGGTCAACTCTGTCCTAGTCGCCTATATCCAAAATGTTTGGGAACTGGAATACTTTGGATTTCAGATTGCTTTGGATTTTGGAATACTTCTATTTGCATATATGTATATAATGACATGTCTTGGAGGTGGGGCACAAGAATAAACATGTTCATTTAATTTTTATATACATTTAATACATATAGCCTGATGGTCCACTCTGTCCTAGTTGCCTATATGGACAGTTTTGAATTTTGGAGGATTTGGGAATTTTACAAGCTCAACCTGTATTGCTATCGTTTCATGCATTTTGATTGTGAACACCCCAAAAACTATGGATCTGTTTGAAAAATGTCTTAAGACAATTTAGAGCTTGTCAAAAATATATTCAAGGGAAATATCAAAATTAGACATTGTAAAAACATGTATAAATATTCTTGCTATTCTGTTTGTTTATTTATTTAGTGTATTTATACCCCACCCTTTTCAACCCCACAGGGGACTCAAGGTGGCTTACATATATAGACAACAATTAGATGTGAAAAAACATACATCACATAAACATAAGCATTAAAACAATCATTAAAACATAATAAAACCTTAAAATCAATTATTTAAAATCACTCAATCCAGTATTGTAATCGTAGCCATTCCAATTTGTTGTTGCAGTATTTCAGCTTTCCTTATCGCACTGATAGATTACGCATTGAATGCTTGGTTGAACATCTACGTTTTTTTGCCAAGGGGCCACCATTGATAAAGCCCTGTCTCTCATCCCCACCAACCGCATCTGTGAAGGAGGCAGGATCGAGAGCAGGGCCTTCCCAGAAGATCTTGATTTCCTGGCCGGCTTATAGAGGGAGATACGTTCAGATTACTTGTATCTGTAAAAGAGAGATGGGAATCCACATGGTGTCCCCAAGCCCATTTCTGTAGAATAGCAATCCTTCCCTTCTTTCCTGCTTGCATAACAGTCCTGATTTGTCACACCAAAGCTGACAGTTGTTACTCTTAGGTGATGCCATGAATAGTGATCTAACGCAAGGTTCAAGGCAGTTTCAAAATTAGAAGTCAACTTCTGGTTGCGTTTCTTTAGAGAAAGCTAAATAATTGTTTGGGAAGGGAAATGGAGTTGTGTACCATGGGACCTAGAATAAGTATTGTACACACAGTTAATGAAAATTAAGATCCTTTTGGTCAGCATTTCAAAGTAGGCAAGTCTCTTAACTTGCGTCTCTATTTTAGTACATTTGTTCAATAGACATCTGTATCCATTAACCTTTCTCCCAACTATAGGTGAATATTAAGTGGTAAAGGTAAAACTTATTTGACTCTAGAATTAGAGTGCTATTAATCAGGTAGGGAATCCCTACGGTGAACTAATAACATTCTGAAATTCCCTAGCAAATATTTCATGTGATAATTTTGTGTTATTAATTCCTGCCCCCTTATCAGCCAGAATTGGGAGACCTGGAAACGTGGCAGGAAAATAGAAATGCTTGGGAAGAGGAGGAAGATGCTTCCTGGCAAGCAGAAGAAGTTCTCAGGTAACTGTGCTCACTTGTGCAACTGGCTGTGGGGCTTTTGAGAAAATATACTGTGCCTGATTTTGGATCCAAGGTAAATTGTAGGAATGGGCCTCCACAGATTTTAGCTTGTATCCTCCTCAGTTCCTCTAGGAGAGTTGTTCAGCAATTACGAGCAACTGCTTTAATTTTCAGCCCAGTGCAGGTTTTCAACTTCATCTGTTTTCAGTAAATCGTAGTTAAAGATAAACACATTTGTAGCATTGGACAGGATGCTAAATTATTATGAGTCAGAAACAGAAACCATGTTTCCAGTCTGTTCATGTCCATGATGAATAAGAGGAGGTTCTTTGGGCTCATTCTTGTCATGGAATTACAGAAGTAAAGAAACCATCAAATTGATGCCATGATCATAACCATAACATCTTTCAATACGAAATGTCCCAAAACCATTTCAAATGTAATTATGGAATGCTCTCCCTGGGGCTGCTTACTTGGCACCTGGCCTAATGAGCTTTAGGTGCCAACCTAGTAATTTTCTTATCCTCCAAGGCATTGAATTGATTTTAGCTGTTGTTATTAGGCTGCTCTTCTGGGGCTGCTTTTAATTTGTACATCTTAGTGTGTAATTTTATTTCAGTTTGTTACAGCCTTCATGTTTTTAAAATGAAAATCATAGAATCATAGAGTTGGAAGAGACCTCTATTAACCTGCTGCCAAGAAGCAGAAAAATTGCATTCAAAGCACCCCTGACAGATGGCCATCCAACCTCTGTTTAAAAGCCTCCAAAGACGGCGCCTCCACCACATTAATTAATATCTGCCAATATAGAGTAATTGAAAATAGGTTTGGGACAGACACTAGAATATTCAGCCCCTTTCACCCTAATACTGAGGCTCCGACTTCACTGCCATATAATGCAGCTTAATAATACAGTTTAACTGCATATATGAGAAAACACTGCCATAAATGCAGTGAGCTACAGACCCCTACAAAATGCAACTTCTCCACCATTTCCTGTGGTTTACTAATCTAGACAAAAGGTTAAATAGGTTATAGCAAAAATCAGCATGGAATGCAGAACAGGAAAAGAGATTCTTACATATAAAAGTGGCTAGTGTTCTATTAATCCTTCTAGAAGCTCAGGAAATATTTGTAGTCACCTCATTAATTCACAGAACAACTCTGTGAAAATCAGTTAGGTTCAGAGGAAAATAGGCAACTGACCCTAGATTTCATCCATCACTGTATCTTGCTGATTCTTTCCCATCAAACTGGGATCAAGACACCTAGTTGCTAATTGTAATTCTGACATTTCACTTTGATTTGAAAGTACAAGAAGGAGCCAATTTTCTAAGTCAACAGTCCTCAACCTGTGGGTCCCCAAGTGTTTTGGCCTACAACTCCCAGAAGTCCCAGCCAGTTTTCCAGCTGTTACGATTTCTGGGAGTTGAAGGAAAAACATCTTGGGACCCACAGGTTGAGAACCTATTGCATAGTGTATTCATGAATCTGTAAAATGATATCTGGCCAGCAGAGGTCCCCATACACAATTAAGATATTTTCTCTTGTTCATGGCTGCAGAATAATCTTACTCGCTTTTGGATGATTATTGTTCCTGTTAGTGTCATTATTCTCATGGACTAGAGATTTGTTTTTCTTTTTCTTGATGAGGCTTGATGAGTTTTTCTTGATGAGGTTTGATGGTTAACATAGGAGGCCTGATCATGACATACTACTCAATTCACAGAGTATTATTTTACTTGGGGAAAACATTTCACCACTGTTAACCGAGGTTTAATTTCTATAGTAGTATATCCATAGTATCTTAGCAAATTGTTCCATTGCTTAATTTTTCATAATACAAAGTAACAATTATGATTGATCCTAAATAGATTCTTACATGGTCTATCTTAGCGATTTTGCAGTTCTTCCCCGGGAGACCATTATGCTTATGCTTACTACCGTTAACTATCCATTTCCACGATAGCTTGTACATCTTACCCAGTTTTTCCATTGTTTAATGCTTCATAATAAAAAGTTGCACTTATTATTGCATTATTTCATGATGCACCCTGATGATTTTGTAGTCATGTCTCAGGAGACTATTATGTTTATTTGGATGCTTATGTATTGCAAAGTCTTTGCTCAAAACCTTCCCTTCCTCACATTTGTCTCAATTTCATCTTGATGCTTGTGAAGTTTGGAGCAATGCAGAGGTGACACTCTTTCACATGCTGTTTTTGCCTAAGTTGCACCTTTAAATATCATGCGAACATGTATTTGTGTGTTAGTTAAACCTATTTTACACTGAGATAAAAGTAATTCAGATAGATGTGTGTGAACTTTCTCAGAACTATGGTCAAATATAGATATGGTGATTCTCTCTGCTGAGCTAGCTTTGAATTTAATGGCAGCTTTTCATATAGATAAGCTTTCCAAAACAGACTGTACCACATTTAATTTGTATTTCGTCTTTGGTATGTGTAGACTGAGAATTAGTGACTTACCAGTATTAGTCCTATGGAATTCAACCAGAAGCACTGGAATTACTCAAAAATAAAGAAGTGGAATCCCTATTTTGAAAGGCAGCAACAACTGTCTCTGAAAGTTGCTTCTGATTCCTGGCATCAAATGTTGAGTGGCCAAAAGACTTAGATTGGAGGATATGCAGCCCAATTTCATGGTAAATTTCAGACCACATCTGCACTGCCATATAATGCAGTTTAATTTCAATGTAGACTCATTTAATGCAGTTCAATGTGGCTAAACTGAATTATGAAACTGCATTGTATGGTAGTGTAGATGAAGACAGAACAGAATTGAATGATGTCACTGAGTACTTGGATTAAAAACAAAGCACATTTATGAAATGTCTGCAGTGTCATGTGAGTTGAGTTGTCGACAAAATATCTTTTGAAAAGGGGCTGCCTAACAAAGGATCTTGACTTTATTTCATTGTTTCTTTTGTGAAATTGCAGGCAGCAGAAAATAGCAGAAAGGGAAAAAAGAGCAGCTGAGCAACAAAGGAAGAAAATGGAGAAAGAAGTGCAGCGGTTAATGAAGAAAGAACAGAATAAAATTGGCGTGAAGCTATCTTAACACCACTTGGGCTGATTTCACAGTGCCAGCAGAAATGAGAGAATTCAGCTTCTAAAGCAATTCATCATTTTGTATTGATCTCAGTATTTCTAGAACTCCGGCTCACTGCTTTCATTTTAAGCCATTTTGGAAGAGACAGTTCTTCTATAAGGTAGCTTCAGCTGGACAGCCCCAACAACAGATTCGTCATCCCACTAATTCCCACCATGACAGGACAGTGTTTCCTGTAGAAACCCAAATCACTCCTATTTCAAGAGATAATACTGCATAAACTGTTCAACTGCCTGTTTGATGCTAAAGGGAAAATGGTGTAAATAATTGAATGATGGGAATCTACTCTATTGTCTATTATGCTTATTACCAGAAAGGTGTGTAATTAAATAATTTTAAAGAAGATGGTGTTTCCCTTGCTTTTTCTCTCTCATAAACCTTTCTCTTGCTCTAATACTGAATGCTCTGTTGCATATTCTAGGGAAGGTAGGTTGCAGGTTAACTGAAAGCTAATGACATCATGCATACAAGAAAACATAACTGATGAATATCAGCTCTAATACATAGTTGGTTTTCTGTAGACAGGTATTCTAAATGCCTGCAGAAAAAAATGTAGGGATGTGAAAATCCTTCCTTATTCCATTTCTTCTAGAACCAATGCAATGTGCTTTCATTAAATTTGAAAAAAAGGACCCAAGGGACAGTCTGCACCCTGGACAGGTAAGCAAGATATCCCTCTATTCTGCCTTGATCAGACCAAACCTGGCATACTGCGTCCAGTTCTAGGGACCGCAATTTAAGGGAGATGTTGACAAGCTGGAATGTATCCAGAGAAAGGTGACTAAAATGATCAAGGGTCTGGAGAACAAGCCCTATGAGGAGCTGGGCATGTTTAGCCTGCAGAAGAGAAGGCTGAGAGGAGACATGATAGCCATGTATAAATATGTGAGGGGAAGTCATGGAGGGAGTAAGCTTGTTTACTGTCCCCCTGGAAACTAGGACGCGGAACAATGGCTTCAAATGGCAGGAAAGGAGATTCCACCTGAACATGAGGAAGAATTTCCAAACTGTGAGAGCTGTTCAGCAGTGGAACTCTTCCCCGAAGTGTGATGGAGGCTCGTTCTTTGGAGGCTTTTAAACAGGCTGAATGACCATCTCTTGGGGGGCACTTTGAATACGATTTTCCTGCTTCTTGGCAGGGAATTGAACTGGATGGCCCATGAGGTCTCTTCCAACTCTGATTCTATGATCTTACTTTCTTTGAAAGGTTGCAGAATTTTCAGGTGTCATTTTAAAACCTGCAACATTTAGATAATTGAGAGGTAACATAAATAGGGTATTCCTCTGAACCTTGAAATTGGGATTTAACATCCAAATCCTTCATGGTGAACAGCTGCTAGCTGCTATCAATAAATAGCTGTATCAATCAATACTAAAACCTTTCATGCAGCCAACACATTCATGAAGTATGCCACAGACAAAATGTCGTTTTCTTGGTAATGTGAAAGTTATTAATCTGTGCTTGTGCCAAACATCTTAAGCATTGGAGAGTGGCATATATAAATCATAAATGGTCATGGATCAGTTGGAAGTAGGCATCTTCCAAGCGTGGTGACGAGACCAGTTGCTGGGCCAAGAAGAATTTATTCAGAGTCTTAATTTAACATGCTGATCAATTCTTGGGCCATTTGTCAAAGTCAAAAGCAGCTGTCAGGAGTGGACCTTGTTTTCCTATGGTTTCTTGCTCAGGAATGTGTCACAATCTTGTCATGTGTTGTGACCTTTTTCGTTTGATCTGCGCCTCCTGGACTGGAAACAAGTAAGGGATGCCACAGAATATCAGTTCTAGCCTATTCATCATTTCCTTTATTACACAGAAGAGACTAGAAACAACTATCCTGGAATAGATCCTCTGTGCCAAGTGCTCTTTTATGGAGGACTCTCCTTTGTGACCTCCTTGTTTCTGTAGCCTTGTTGGAATGTGTGAGTAGCATAGTCACCTGTTTTGGACACTTTTGAAAATATTTTGCAGTCACTGCAGAGAAATGAATCAAAGGACTATGAACTTTTTGTAATAACTTATTTAAGATGTTTCCTTAGATTTTTTTCAAACAAAAATGGATCAAGCATTTGTGTGACATTATTTTGCTTCAAGTAAGACAGCCTTCAGCTTTCGCAACCAGTTGGCCAAGTCTGAGTAGTATTTTCTTCCTTTTCCCTTCATGCTGCTCCAGTCCATGGTGTAGTGGCACTATAAATGTGTTACATATGGTTTCCCAGAATACAGAGCAGATTCATTAAAGTGCACAGAGCTGTAGAAAAAAATGGCCAGCAGACCAATACCTACTTGTTAGAAGAGGGCAACTTGTGGTTCTGCAGATGACATTGAGTTGCAGCTCCTATTTCTCTGCATCATTCGTTCTCCCGAGTTGCGCCAAAGGACCTTGAGATGCCAAGAGTAATGTTCTCTGTAGGAATTTCTATATCTTCCAGCACACATTCCTCTGTATCCCATCACTGAGAATAGTACCATATTTTCTGGCGTATTAGATGACCCAGGAAAACCCTCCCTGAACTTGGGGGTTGCCCAGTACACCGGATATAAGATATCACTTCCTGTTTTGGGTCAAGGCGAGGGAGGCGGGCAGCTGCTCTGTGCTCCTCCAGCACCACTTGGCTCCTGGTACTGGGCTTCAGCCTCACTGAGGAGCTCTTTCACTCCAGGCCTGCCTCGGCTGTCAATGCAGAGGAGGAGGAGGAGGCGATATACTCACCGGACCGCCGCATTGCTGCCCCCTCCTCCACTGCACTGACAGCCGAGGTGGGCCTGGAGTGGATGAGCCTCTCGGTCAGGCTGAAGCCCGGCAGCTGGAGCCAAGCGGCACCTGAGGACTGCCCTCCGGAGCTGCTTGGCTCCTGCAGCTGAGCTTCAACCTGACCTAGGGGCTTTTTCACTCCAGGCCCACCTCAGCTGTCATTGCGGAGGAGGAGGTGATATACTCGCCAGACCGCTGCATTGCCTCCTCCGCTGCACTGACAACTGAGGTGAGCTTGGAGTGGAAGAGCCCCTCAGTCAGGCTGAAGCCTGGCAGCAGGAGCCAAGTGGCTAGTATGCCTGAAAATACGGTACATTGTATGGAAATGTAGAAGTATTTCTCTGTTATGGTGCTCCCCTTGGAATTTTGATATGTGAAGACTGGGTTTATCTTCAACTATTAAAATGCACTGCATCCTAGAACTTCAGATACATGACAGGAAAGAAATATTTTAATGAGTTTATTGCCTACTGTTTGTTAGTGGGGTAAAATGACTATGGAACAGCTTGGACTATGACTATGGATGGCATGATTTTTAATATGGATTGGAATGTTTTAAATGTTTAATATGTTTTAATTTTAATCTAGTTTAATTTTAATTTTTTGGAATTGTATGTATTTTAAGGCATTGAATAATTGCCACCTTGAGTCCCCTTTGCAGCAGAGAAAGGTGGGATATAAATAGAGTAAATAAATAAATAAAATTCTTTTAGATTCCTGAGCCAAGGGATGACAATATAATCAAACAGTAACTCTCAACATTTGCCGCAGTTAAGGATGTAGGACTGGTGCAGAAATGGAAAACCACAAATAAAAATATACTTTTTAAAATCTGAGTGAACTTCTCTCTAGGAATCTCTTGGTCCTCCAATGTGACATCTGCTGGAAGTTGCCCATATAGTTGTGCCGGATGACCTAGAGATTCCTAAAGAGACCCTATTGATCAAATCTCCAAAACCTACCTCCTGCAAATGTGGAGGGCTGACAATAAGTGGCAATGACTGTTTTGTTCTTGGTAGTTTAGGTGCAATCACTACCTTTTATATTAAATCTTCCCAGATCATTAATAATAATAGCATTAGCAAATGCCTGTACAATCTGTATTCCTTATTGTCTTAGAGCATATGAACACTCAAGTTTCTCGCAGCCAGGTCTGCCATTATGCTTAGTTCTTATGTTTTGTGTATATTGTTTTATATGCTTTGATGTTTTATATTTTACTGTTATGTTGTTTATTTGACTGTAATTTGTATTGTTATATTGTAATTTTTGTTCGGGCTTGGCCCCATGTAAGCCGCTCCGAGTCCCCTTTGGGGAGATGGTGGCGGGGTACAAATAAAGTTTATTATATTATTATTCAACTAAAACAAAGACACCAACTTCATTTCAACATGCTTTTATTTAGAACTTGTAATTATAAAGGGCTTTCCTTCTCCTAAAAGATTATATAACAAGAAAAAATAAGTTAGTTCCAACATACATTTAAAATATTCCTTCATGTACTTTCATGACATCCAAATAAGACTTTATTTAAGACTTAAAACAAACTTCAAAAAATATATTCACAGCCATATTTATACACAAAATAACAAGATTCAAGACGCTCACCAATCTACAATAATACCTTTTATGCTTCTTCTTTTTTTTCCTTTTTGGTTATGGTCCCTTGTACACAAGGATCAGTGGAATGCAAGGGTGAGTACATCATTAAAGCGCCACTACAAAAGCACAGACAGTTCATGCCAGGATTATGTAAGCTGCCTTTGGAAGAATGAACTTTCCCCTCACACCTGAAAACATTTGGTATAACAATCCATACATCTGACAACAGAACAAAGAGCATTTAGCATGCTTTTAAAAAAATGCACTTGTGTTTACACAGAGTGGAAACAAGTCTCCATGCCACTAACAGTCTTTCCCTTCTCCCCCATTTCAAACAATGAACATACGAAATATAGTGCAAATCAAACATTAAGGAGCAAAATTGACAGTTCACCAATACATACATAACCTTTTCACTTGGCCTCACTACACCCAACCAGAACTCAGCCTTTTTGGCACACTGTACAGGATAGTTACATCTAGGCCCGGACATTGATGGGTACCCGGCGAAGAGAATGCAGAGCTATCAGGCAACAGCCTCGGAGCAATCCTCCAAAATTGGGGACTGGGCTCATTCCTCCTCTCTGAGTACTGAACATCCACATGACGGTTGGCACCATGGGGGCCGCTACTGCCAAAAGATCTACAAAGAAGTTGCTGCTCCAGTATCTTTTCACAATGGTCCCTTCTGACAACTTCCTAGTGTTCCCACATACTTCAGAGCGAAAATCTATGAAATCCAGTTCTTTCATGACTCGGTTTTCATAATGTCTGGAATCTGCAGCACCACACACTGGCTTTATAGGGGATAAAAGGATAGCAGAATTCGGATCGCATGGAGTCAAATCCAAAACCATGTCTGAGACACTCTCAGCACAAGATACATCCAATTCTTTCAAAGCTGGAGATGGGCTCATGGGGTATTCTTCTTGTGCCTTGAATATGTTATGAAGGAGCTGTTCCATTTCTGTGCTATACAGCAACACATCAGCTTGGACTGCTTGTTCGTTTGCCATAGTACAGCTGCGGTTGTCATCCTCTTCTTTGGAGCTTGCTAAGTCATTGACAAAATCCAGGTGGTTCAATGTAGAAGCAGTAAAGAGAGTTGGGCACCCAAGTTCAGGTGTGGTAGCAATCGTTGTCTCTTCAAATATATCATTCCCATTAGCCACATCATCGCTCAGTAGAACACCACTATCTGCCATATCCTCCAATGAGTGATCCTCCGTAAGCAAGCTATCTGCCATTTTGGAATGCGCTGTACTTGGAGATAGGGACGTATCAGGAGATCGATATACATACTCTAGACTCTGGTCCTCATTAGAAGAGCCATTCTGTGCAATTTCCATACTCTGAAGCAAGGACTCCAGCTTCTTGTTCTGGATGTTGATGTCCACAAAATACTTCTGAATCCCTTTGTCTTTCTCAGCCAAACTGTTTTTCATAGTTTCGATAACTTGCTTGAGCTGCTTGATCTCCTTCCTTGCTTCTTTCAAAGCAAGCTGGGCTTCCACACGATGACATTCTTCTTCAATCCAATCATCCCTCATGCGAGCTAGTTGAGATTTCAATTCCTTGATCTCTATTTCCCTGAGGAGAAGGGAAAACAGAAACAAACATATCCCATCAGTTTCTGGCTTGGATTCTACTGGTAGTCTCTAAATCTCTAAAATAAATGGGATTTACAAAAGTATTGATCCACTATGCAACTGTTAATTCAATGTTGCAATGGGAGTCATGCGGTTCTCCAGTTCTTTTTGGACTGGAAGTCCCAGCAACTCTAGCCAACACATGACAAATGTGAGGAGATGCAGTCTAAAAAGTTATGGAGAACGGCACGATTCCTACCCCTAATCAATGAGATTCTGCTCTTACAAGCAAAAGCTCAAACTGTAATACAGACATGCAGTTACAAATTCATAACCCTCAATTACAGATCTATAATTTATATGTATTCACATATTAACAATAGTGGCACAATTGCTACATTTGCATAAATCTCTCAATCTTGCTTTTCCAGACATCATTCACTGGAAGCAATGGGAATCTGTTCTCCTGTTACTCAGAGGATCGTACATTGACATTTCTTCAACATTCCTCCCAATGGTACAAGGATCTTGGCGGGAAGCAGTTGAATATGTCAGTCTATGGCACTGTGATTAACAGCAGAACAGACTTCAGTTGCTCACAGTAGCTAATGCCAATGAAGCAGGAGTCTTTGATATGAGGTTCAGCCAGGATCTAGGCCCTTCTCTTTTAAGGTGACCAATATGTGCTGAACAAGCAGTGAATAAGATGCAAAAATGTGAAGTTTCTCGCAGATTTCCGACAAAACTGATATATGGCTTATAGACGGTGTGTGGCTATATATAGGGAAGAGAACTTTTAAAGAAATGATACACTTTTATCTAGACTACTGATTGTCCTCCCTTTTCAGCTAAAACCTTGGATCAGGGCATTCATATTAGTGATCCCACAAAAATGAAATTCATTTTATCCCTAGGGTTGCATAGCTAGGGAACTATTCATCTTTATAATTGTCTTGAAGTAGTTTTGTCCTATTTTCATTTTAGAGACATTGTTGGATCTTCTAAGAGAACAGTGTATTATTTATTGGGTTGCTGTGAGTTTTCTGGGCTTTATGGACATGTTCCAGATGTATTCTCTCCTGACATTTCACCCACGACTATGGCATCCTTAGAGGTAGAGGGGTGTGTTGGAATCTAAGTAAGTGATGTTTATATATCTATGGAATGTCCAGGATGGGGGAAAGAACTCTTGTCTGCTTGAGGTCCGTGTGAATGTTGAAATTTGCCACCTTGATTAGCATGTAATGGCCTGCAGTTTCAAGACCTGGCTGGTTGCTGCCTGAGGGAATCCTTTATTGGAAGGTGTTAGCTGGCCCTGAATGTTTCTTGTCTGGAATTCCCATACTTTTTGAGTCTTGCTCTTTATTTACTGTTCTGATTTTAGAGTTTTTATATACTGATACCCAGATTTTTTTTTCATTTTTATGGTTTCCTCCTTGCTTGTGGATTTCAATGGCTTCTATGTGTTGTCTGAAATGGTAGTTGTTAGAGTGGCCCAACATTTCTGTGTTCTCAAATAATATGCTGTGCCCAACAGACCCCTCTACCTCTGAGGTTGCCTGCCCTAGATGTGGGTGAAATATCAGGAAAGAATGCTTCTGGAACATGGCCATACAGCCCGGAAAACTCATAGCAACCCAGTGATTCCGGCCATGAAAGCCTTCAACAACATATTATTTATTATTTATGCAGTACTTTCCAAGAGCTTTACGTTAAAGACTGTACTTTCCCAAATAAATGTTATAGTTTTTAGGAAAACTGATTCCAGCAGAAGCACTTACCTTTCTTCGAGCTTGCTCTCCGACTCCTTCAGTTTTGTCTTCAGATGCCTCACTGTCACTTCCTTTTGTTGGAGGGGGGTCAGGTACTGCTCTGGACTTGGTGGTTTAATACCATGGTTCTCACCACAAGAGGTGTACCTGGCTGGCCGCCTGCAACAGATAGAACTTTGTTGTATCTCTAAAGCTGGGTTTGCACTTTGCTCACATCAAAGGCAAGAGAAGCAATTTAGTCTAAAACCCCAATATGATTGCCTTTTCTTATCTGATGCCTAACAACTAAATGGGCCCAGGAGCAAATCAAGCCTGAAATCCCAATACAATCCAAAATGACTAATCTGATATAAAAGTAAAGGTAAAGGTTTCCCCTGACATTAAGTCTTGTCACGTCCAACTCTGGGGCGTGGTGCTCATCTCCATTTCTAAGCCAAAGACCCAGCATTGTCTGTAGACACCTCCAAGGTCATGTGGCCAGCATGGAGTGCTGTTACCTTCCTGCAGACACAGTATCCATTGATCTAAGCAGAGGCTGGCTAGCCATCTGTCGGGGGTACTTTGAATGAGATTTTCCTGCTTCTTGGCAGGGGGTTGGACTGGATGGTCCATGAGGTCTCTTCCAACTCTATGATTCTATTATTCTATACTCACGCTTGCATGTTTTCGAACTTCTAGGTTGGCAGAAGCTGGGCCTAACAGCGGGAGCTTACCCCGTTCCCTGGATTTGAACTGCCAACCTTTTGATCAGCAAGTTCAGCAGCTCAGCGGTTTAACCCACTGGTAGACAGGATGCTACTGTACTTTGAATATATTATAAGAAAACAGGATTTACTAGAAAAAATAATTGAAAAAATTAATTGAAAAGATTTAATACAGTGGGAATAGGAAATTGGCATTATAGATCCATTGACTCAATCAAGAAAGCCACAGCTATGAGTATGCAAGACCTGAGCAAGACTTCTAAGAACAGGATCTTTTGGAAGTCTCTCACTTATAGGGCTGCCATATAGTTGACCTGAATTCACACAATAACTTCAAATCCTATTTCCTTATTGTTTTATATTGTATACTAGCCGTTCCCTGCCAGGCGTTGCTGTGGCCCGGTCTGGTGATCTGGAAAATAAAGTAATGAGAAAGTATTGGTTTCTAATATATGTAATGTCTTTAGGCTTGTGGGTAAACAGTATTTTTTATTTCTTTGTCAGTGTTGATTTGGAGATTGTCTGGTTTGCCTACTCTGGAACATGCAACATGTAATTGTCCTTCTTTAGGGGTCCCTTTCAAATCTTTGATACTATACATATGTGTGTGTGTGAATCCTATCCATCTATATCTATGGCTGGGTGGTTCTTTGTCAGAAGGGCTTTGATTACGTTTTCTTGCCCTGGTGAAGAGAGTTGGACTGGATGGCCTTAAGTATTTTCTGTTCATCATGGGGGTTCTGTGTGGGAAGTTTGCCCCAATTCTGTCATTAGTGGGGTTTAGAACGTTCTTTGATTGTAGGTGAACTATAAATCCCAGTAACTACAATTCCCAAATGTAATGGTCTATTTCCCTCAAACTCCATCTGTGTTCATATTTGGGCATATGGAATATTCGTGCCAAGTTTGGTCCAGATCCATCATTGTTTGAGTCCACAGTGCTCTCTGGATGTGGGTGAACTACAACTCCCAAACTCAAGGTCAATGCCCACCAAACCCTTCTAGTGTTTTCTGTTGGTCATGGGAGTCCTGTGTGCCAAGTTTGGTTCAATTCAATTTGTGGTTCAGAATGCTCTTTGATTGTAGGTTAACTATAAATCCCAGCAACTACAACTCCCAAATGACAAAATCAATTTTTTGAGTGATGTTCACTCCTTGGGTTAGTAGGTGTCTTGTGGCCAAATTTGGGGACAATTCGTCCAGTGGTTTTTGAGTTATGTTAATCCCACAAACGAACATTACATTTTTATTTATATAGATAGCTGATTGTCTAATTGTTATGTTACTTCTTTTATTTATTATGTTAACCATCTTGAACTTGTTGAGGAAGAGCACATAAATGTTTTCTATTTCTAATAATAAACAAACCCAACTGGACTTCTGAGTAAATAGACACAGAATTTAGGGCTGAGCCAAAGTATTCTTTTTGACATTTTGGGAAGAAATACTCCATGAAGAATTTGAGAGACTGCCATGATTCAGCAACATTCCCATGGGACCTTGCTTCCTGCCAAGGGAATGTTACTTGACAAAGGCAACCAAGCTGCTGCTTGAAGTAATGTGAAATCTTTTATTATTGTTTTTAAAGTATTTCAAAATAGGCCTGTCATCTTATCACCAACACAACAAGTTATTAGGAGAAGAAAAATTATTAGGCTCTGGAGCTGTTCTACTCATGTTTTATTTCTGTCTCTGCCTCTTTCCATTTTCAGGCATGATCAGGCAGCCGTGAAAGACTCTAGAATTCCTCCCTTTAAGTAATATTCTGATAATTAAGTTATGGAAATAATGCCACATTCTGCCTATCTCACATTCCTGTATTTTGCTGGCTTAATAAGGAATCATAAATTTGTGGCATTGATCTCCCTCCCAAAGAACCTGGGAGCCAGCTTGGTTCCTTCCAGTTAAAAGGTTGGCAAAGGTTGGCAACTGCAGTTAGTTGGGCACATCCTACCCATTTTCTACCCTGACATTGTAAGGTGTTTCCCCCAAAATATTTAGCATTTAGCAAACTATCCTCTCATTTGAGGTTCCATGGAGAAAATTGTTCTCCTTGGCAGTTTTTGTCCATTGCTGGGGGATTTTTTTTGTCGTGAAAGGTCTTGGGGACTCTGGCAGCCATGCAAAATACCTTCCTAGGTTGTATTTATTTTGGAGACCACAAGATTTGTATTCATGCATTCGTTCCAACTTTGGCTTTAAATAATATTGCTTCATTGCTGCTATAATCTTCCTGAAACTAAAGTTGTGCCCATTCTTCTTACACAAAAAGTGCATTTGGAGAAGTAATTTAGCAAACCCTACCATTCAAGGGACCCTTAATAAATATAGGCATTGTCAAGTAGGCTAACAATGTATTTCTGCTTTATCATCAAGCTCAAATTGTCAGGACCCTCAGTGGATTAGAAATCCAGGCCAATGGTAACAAGAGGATTGAACAAGAGGATTCTTGCTGTCCCAGTCAAAAGACAAAACAGCAAAATGAACTCTCTTATACCTCATTCTACATTTTTAAAAAGCTGACTAGACAGGTTTATAAATCTTGTTTTTATAAAGATAACTGGATTAGCATCCCATGCCACAGCTGAGAGTGGCAGACTAATTTAGGAGGTGAGGACACCCTATCCTGACTGGAGACAGAATGGTCAGAGAAATGGCTTGGAGGTGGCTGTCTCTATTGTCTTCTCCCTCTGACTCACACTATTAGTATTGATTCTAGCCATTCCAACTACAATCCTCATGCTGAACTCCCTGATACAGACTAAGCTCCAGACTAAGTTAACAGACAGTACACACTTACCTCTAGTACAGATGTCACACCAACACGGAGCACACAGAAAGCAACACAAGACTGTGCAACGACACCAGGGGTTCTTTCTGCAGCAGCTGCAGGTTTAGGCAATGCTAGCCACCACATCACCTTTGACATTAGATTTTGGAACCAGAATCAGACCTGGTAAGTACTTGGATTGCCAATTACCAGGGAATACTAGAGATTTCTAGGTGGGACTAGAAGAATCTCTGTAGAAAACCCTAGCGGGTTCTGGCCAGTTAAAGATGACAAGATGTGGTTAGACCTGATATAAGGCAGCTGACTTGATATCAAGCAGCTTCAGTAATCACAATCTAAACATTCCATAGAAACTGTTTCAAATAAAAAGTAAATTTAAACATTAAGTTAGCAAAATAAATACAGACTTTTTGCAAAGCTCCCTCCCAGGAAAGGAAACTGGTTTCATGGTGTTTATGGCACATCTGCTCAAATGCATGAGTGTGCAACCAAAAGCCTGATAAAATTAATGAATTTTATGATAATATCTGGGATAGAGAAAAAAAACATGCATTATAATTCAAGACTCCAGCAAAAGGCTGGAGATAAGAGGGAACTTGGCCAGGGAGGGGAGAACACTTGCCTCAAAATGGGACTGCTATCACTTCCCTTGTATGAGCCTGAATTGCTGCTGCTGGCCGAAGAAGCCCCGTAATTCGCATGGGTGCTAATGGGACTCAACTGATTTTTACACAACATTCCCAGAAAATCCTTCTCCCGGGATGTGGTAGGAGGACTCGACCCAGATTTGTAAGAGGAGGATCCATTATTCCTTCCATGAGGCCCTCGACTAGAATTGACGGCAAAAAACAAAACAAACAAAACAAAAACAAAAACAAATGTGTGTTAATATATAATACTAACACTGATTAAACTGATTAATGAGCAACAGACATAGTTTACAAACCTTTTGGTATATTAATTGGGAAGAAGATGACATAAATTATTTGTCAGCCACTGAATCAACTCATCAGAAGAAAGAGGAAACCAACTGAATCAACAGAATTGACATAATGCTGACTTACTGAATGGACTTACCCATACTTACTTGAGTCTAGTGCACCATCGAACATAATACATACCTCAGTTTTGAGATGTGCATTACAAAAAAAAGAATGGGGAGGAAAATGGTGCCCCTTTTTCTCAGAGACGAAGGAGGAATGGCTTGGGGAGGGAAGCCGCTGCTCCACCATCAAGATGAGTTTACTAGGCCCAGCCTGATGGAGGATATAGACACCTTTTGGCACACAATTGTAATGCACCATCAAATGTAATGCACATATCCATTTTGGCTAAACACTAAAACCAAAAACAAATGTGCATTACAGTAGAGTAAATACAGTATTGAATTCCCATTTATACAATGTGTTCATTCCCATTCATACAATGTTCTAACAATAGGACTAAAGCCAGACTTTTATTTTTAAAATAGTTTTAATAAAATAACCTATTGAAAATTGTTAATATTTGTAGTACTTTTATAGGCTTTTGAAATATGCTATATTATTAGAAGCTATTGTATAAATCTTGCATTATTGCAGTGTGCACCTACCTATTTTCATTATAGGCAGTTACAAACATCTGACTTACAAATGACTCTTAGTTAAGAACAGGGCTGAGACAACAGAAAATGAGAGAAATCTACCTCTGGGAAGGGAAATTCAGTCCTGAAAGAGTTATTATGGAGAAAAGGTATCACAACTAAAGCTTTATCTCCAATACTTGTTTCCACGACAAGCCTTTTTTTTCCAAATCTAATTATCACAGGGACAGAAAGTGAGGTGAAATCTTCTAAACAGAAGCACAGACAGCAAAACAAACACCACTAGTATGTTAATTAACTTGCATGCAATTTCAACAGAAGTTGGGGACTGCCTGTATACTGTACATGAAATAGGTGGGTGCACATTGCAATAATGTAAATGTATAAAATAGCTGCTCTGGGTGTCTTTTTAGAGGGAAAAAGCAGAATGCAAATATAATAATAGCAGCAGTAATACAGTATACTTCAAAAATTTATAAAAGTAAATCTAAATGCCCTCTTCAAATATCAGTATTCTGCTAGCTAATTGTGAGTGTATAATAGCTGATCTAGTATTAGTACACTGTATCAGAAATTTATCGTGAACTACTGCAAACCAGTAAAAAAATATTGGATCTGGACTAAAGAAGCCAAAACAGAAGACTCCTATGGGGCTCTCATGAAGTTGAAGCTCCATATCAACATTTTACAAATTATGGAAAATAATATTTTGGGCCATTCTATGAACTTGTCATGTCACGGACTCATTTTTGTTAGGGGAGATAGTATGCAGCATTGAAGCTCCCTTAACTACATCCCAGAAAAGTCACAAGAAAGCCACCTGTGCCATTCTGGGAGTTGTAATCCATAAAAGTTAATTTTCTAAGTTTAATTCTAAAATTGAAATTCCATGTTGTTTGCATAATGGGGTGTCTATTAGGGCTGTACAATTGATACAAAATGTTTCAAAAGTTATTACAAAATTAGGTACACCAGCAGTTTGTTTCTAAAGTATTTCTAAAGTATTGTTAGTAAAAATGTTGTTACTATTATGATAGTAACAAATTTTTGTTATTATTACGTTAAAATAATTGTGCATGGGGGAGTTGGATGGGGTGATGTGGGGTTGTGGAGACACTTGGAGGACCGGACACATTTACCACTGCAAGCAAGCCCATCAAGTCATACTAGCACTAGGAAAAGCAGCTAAGGTAACTTGTGCCTGATTTAAGCAACAGGTTGTGTGCTTTTTTGCTGGATTGTGCACACGGAGATCACACCAGCACTAAAAAAATGCTGCCAAGGCAAGTTGTGGCTGGCTGAAAAAAAATGGTTGTGTGGTTTTTGACTCTAGGCACACACAGCATACAGAGAGCAATATCACCCAGGCAGTAACCCTCAAAGATTCCCTAAAATGCAGCAAAAAATAAAAATAAAACAGTCATAAGGCAAAAGGCGCCCACCCACCACACAAAAAGAATAAGCAAGTCCCTGCCCGCCAGTGCCTGTCACAGTTTGGTTTCGCCTCCCGGTAGTGCTTGGTCACTCTGTAAATTAAAACTGTGTCACAGACAGTTACAATGTTTACAAAACTTTAGGCTAAAATTTCAATTCTTAATTTTTTGACGTGGATGACGCCCATGCACCAGATATCACGTCATAAGTATGAACCTAACAAATTTGATCCAACTTAGATGTGTTATGAAAATTTTGCACAGCCCTAATGTCGATCTCATAAATGAGCAACAGCTAGTGTTATACGTCTGTGCCTACCATGATGTGGGGGGCAGAAGAATCAGGCAACAGGGAAGTGATACAGTAAAAAAGGACATCAAACATCTTCCTGTGCTCATTGTATGAGGTTTTGAACACCTGAATAGGACTCATTTGACAGGCAAACCATAAGGGAGAGAGCTGCTTGTTTATACATAGGGAAAGCATGGTTAAGATTTGTTTGTCTGTGTACAAACAAATCTTGGGATGGGTATGATTTCTTTTTCTGTTTGTTCAGAAGTCCTATTTTGTAGGTGCAGTGGCCACCAGAGACAGAATAATTTGTAAATATGCTTTGTACATTCACAATCAAACTTCTGTCTCCCCCTTCTAATGATTGAAAAGCAAGGCAAGATATTGAGGCTTTATAATCCTCATTTTCCAAAAGAATAAATAGCAAAAATTTCATCCTTACTGTGTCTTTTAAAATAACCTTATGACTGATGTCCTTTTCATGATTTTATGCAACTGAATACCCTTATTTTAAACACATAAAACAAAAACTAACTTGATACCACTACATAGATTTTTATTTTTCAGTTGCCACTGCAGTTATTCAATTGCTTTTGCTGCACCTCTCCACACTATTAATATGTCAATATGTTTCTTCTTAGATTTTCATTGCCTGAGCACTTTACAATTGGGAACCACTGTGAATCATGAGTCAAAAGGCTCTTAATTTAGAATGTAATCTGGAAAGGTTTCCTCCTCTCTTTCCTGGAACATTTTATATCAACCAGATGGCAGAATGACTGTGCTGAATAGCAGCAGCCTAGGACTGAGATCTGGGTAACTCCATTCCCATTTACAGATGAGAAGAAAGAGGATGAAGGGCTACACAGTACAACTGATGTGCCAAATGAATCTCTCGGAACTGTAGTTTGCTCTCTCAAAAGCAGGAAAAAACAAACTGGAAGTCCAAGGGTTCATCTACATTGTAAAATTAATGCAGTTTGACACCACTTTAGCTGCCACAGCTTCATGCTATGGAAGCCTGGGATTCCAGAATGGTGAGACACTAGCACTCTTTGGCAGAGAAAGCTAAAGGCCTTGTAAAACTACAGGTCTCAAGATTCCATAGCATTGAACCATAGCAGATAAAGTAGTGTCAAACTGCATTCATTGTACAATGCAGACACAACTCTAGATTCACTTACGTGGGAATAAGTTTCGCTTAATTAACTATAGCTTGACTTTGATTAGATACAAAGGGGATTATTTATTTATTTATTTATTTATTTACAGTATTTCTATACTGCTTTTCTCACCCCTAGGGGGACTCAAAGCGTACTGTAACGGGTTCTTAAAGAGAAGAAAACTGAAAAAGAATCTGTGTATTTTACAAATGGTATGCATCAAAGGATTGATTTTTTTGGCAAGTGTAACTGACGCAAGAATATTTGGCTCAAAAGCTGTATTTGAACAAATATTATGGAGACGTTTGGGAAAATTTCAATCCCTTTGCTCTTCCTTGCTTGAATATTTTTTAAAAGAAATCTTTACACATTTCTTTAATTTGGACACTACAGGCTGTAATTCTAAACTTTTTTGTGGCAAGGGGGAATTGATTGAAGGTTGCCAAGCTGCTCATGTAATACAAACTAATTCAATTTTCAGTTCCAGCAGATTTATTTTGTAACCATGCAATGATTGATTGCTCTCAGCATGAGAGCTTTTCTAGGAGGAGGAGAAAGTGAATGTCATTTATCAAAATAGCCATCTATCTAAAACATATTACAGTCACTGATGGTCATAGACCCTTTTGCCTGATACAAGGCCAGCTCTGTAATCAGAAGGGTTATCTTCACTACCACTTTTAGTTTTTGCACATCAGCATACTGATATCACAACAGTGTGGCAGCTGTGCAACATACAGCAACACACAGGCTGGGCTGCCAAAATGTTACCGACAGAGAAACAAATGAGTGCTGACCAGAGGGCTAAGATTAATTGCTATGAATGAGCCCAATGAAGAAACCAAATCCAGCTGCATCCCTCATCTTTGCATCCTGATTGTTTTCAACCAGTTTGTTGACTGCAGTTTCTTGACTGCAAAACTAAGGTGCCAAAAATAAAGTAAATTAAAGGTAAAGGTTTTCCCCTGACATTAAGTCCAGTCGTGTCTGACTCTGGGGGTTGGTACTCATCTCCATTTCTAAGCCGAAGAGTCGGCATTGTCCGTAGACACCTCCAAGGTCATGTGGCCAGCATGACTTCATGGAGCGCTGTTACCTTCCCACTGGAGCGGTACCTATTAATCTACTCACATTTGCATGTTTTTGAACTGCTAGGTTGGCAGAAGTGGGGCTAACAGTGGGAGCTTACATCGCTCCTCAGATTCAAACCTGCAACCTTTCGGTCAGCAAGTTCAGCTCAGCACTTTAACCCACTGCATCACGAGGGGCTCCTGCCAAAAATAAAAACTACCCTCAAATAATAACTTATGGCATCTAAAAACGTGTTTGAAAGGAAGGGAACTGAAAGCTCATGTGAAATGATAAAGTAAGTTCCTTCCAATTGTTTATTTGGTGAAAATAAAGTCACGTGGAGGAATTCTATAGTTGCTGATCATATTGAGATAAGTAACCTGCACAGATCTATAAAATAACACCAGAACAACAAATAAAATCAGAGTCTTTCTGGTATTTGAAACTAGCCTGGCTGCACTTTTAGGTATATCTTGGAAAACTCTCATCCAGACATCAGACTTATGTTTGAACTACAATGTATGTACAAAACGTAACAAGATGGATGGGGAGAAAATCCAGGACAACCTCCCCTGTGTGCATGTTCCACACAAAATGGCCCCTAAACAGGGAAAATCTTCAATCGAAGCAACATTGATTGGTTAGTGATGAGTAAGATGCTGTTGCATACTTGCGAGTAAATGATGACCTTTTGCTTCCAGTGGCAGACATATGGACCTCAGGAGCCGAAATGCTGCCTGTGCTGCTCGAAGAGCTAAAATCAGCCTCACTTCCTGGAAAGGAATAGGGTGGAATAAGAATTTTATGGAAAATATAACTCAACTAAGCATACAGTTTGCAAAATGGTAAGGGAGGAGCCCTTTTCAGACTCTTAACATTTCTGCCAAGCAGATGAACCAAAAAAGAAACACAGTGCCAAAGACATTTGAAAGGAAGTGTGTATCTATTGTGTAGTTTGGAGAAAATAAAGACTACTATCCCTTAGGTATATGCAAAAGTGGAGAGACTAAATCTAGAATTTATTTACATGTACGAGTCATTAAAAAATTATATCACTTTTCTTCAAAGGTCCAAAGATAACAAGTTGAAAATGCCCGAGATAGATCAAAGCAAGCTAAGTTCCAGAACAACAACAAATCAAGAAGTCAAGTCTACTTAAATAATGCAGGTTGACACCAATGCTATAGAATCACTGGAGGTATTAAAAGGTAAAGCTTTCCCCTTGACATTAAGTATAGTCATGCCCGACTCTGAGGGTGGTGGTCATCTCAATTTCTAAGCCGTAGAGCCAACATTGTCTGTAGATGCCTCCAAGGTCATGTGGCCAGCATGACTGCATGTAGCATCATTACCTTCCCATTGGAGTGTTACCTATTGATCTACTCACAAATAAGTGCATGTTTTTGAACTGTTAAGTTGGCAGAAGCTGGGGCAAACAGCGGGAGCTTACCCCACTCCCTGGATTTGAATCGCTGACCTTTTGGTCAGAAAATTCAGCAGCTCAGTGGTTTAATCCACTTTGCCACCAGTGTGTTTTGCAAAATCTTTAGCTTTCTCTGCCAAAGGAATGCTGGTGCCTCACCAACCTACAAATCCCTAAATTCCATAGAAATTAAAGTAGATTCAAACTACATTGATTTTCCAGTGTAGATGTGCCCCAAGCTTGCTTTGCTTCTCAGCTACATACCGGGTGTGGTGTGATACCAATTGTTGCTCACCTTGCTATGCAAAGATGTACCTTAAACTACCACCACCAATAAGAACAGTCATAGCCCACTTCCATAAAAAAAATCCTTCAGTGCCTTTAGAAAGTGTCATTTTCCTTCTATATCTATCTGGAAAGAAATGTATTACAAATGGGGGGAAATCCAAAGAAATTCATAGGGAAAAGACAAGTAAACACACATGCTGTAAGCTGTGCTCTAGGTCAGGGTTTTGCATATTTCAAAATGAATGACAGATTGTGCGAAGTGCTTATGGCACCGGTTTCATATTTTTGTTGGCTCTGTGTCCTCCTAGATCAGTGAAGTGGAAATGATGTTGCTATATTTGAAATAATTTTTTTTCCTTTCCCAATCCCCACGGCTTTCCCTGCTAACAGTATCACACACACTATCAAAGCACATTCTTGTATAAAATGATGATTTCCCACTTTGGGAAATGAACCAGGTCCCTTTATAAGTGCTTTACAGAACACTGAGGGAATACATTTTCTTATTTGTTTACCTTCCTCACTTGGCAATGGAAAGTAGGTGTGTGTACAAAGTCATTTTAACTCTAATGTAAGATGTACTTAACTCCAGTTTCAGACTACTTCAAATCAGGTTCAGTCGGTCTTCCACATTTGCAGGTTTGACGTCTGTGGGTTTCATTATTCATGGATTTGATTGAAATGTTATCTCAAGGATTCTCTAGAGATTCCTAGAGATAACACTTCTCTAGAAATCTCTAGATTTTCCAGTGTGGTTCTATGGGCTACTTCCAACTAGCTATGTAGCTAAGCCCTTCTCCATTCCAACATTATTCCAGATTTTTTTCCCCTCCCGACCTGACTTTACTCCTACTAATTTGGCTAGGGCAGTTCTGATTTATCCTGATGCGTCACTTTTTCCAGCTACTTTGACATGTCCCCTACTTTGACATTTCTCTCCCATCCTCCTATATTTCCCCTTCTTTCCTCCACTGGTGCAAACTGTGTTATAATACATAACAGTTTGCATTCAATTAATTCATCAGGACTGTGGATCTTACGTTGGAAGATCTTGCTTTTCCCCGTAGATTCAGGCAAAAGCAAATTGCTGCAACCTCTCCTAGCTAGTTTGTTCTGACTTATTATGAACTTTAGCCATGCTGAACATACTCTGACATTGCTTGCTCACACATGTCCTAGTTTTCATGGGTAAAATGTTTGAGAGTATGACCAACATTCACCATTATGTGGCTACTGAACATATGTAGATATCATTGTCATGATTTAAGGGATGGCACAGTGGGTTTAATCGCTGAGCTGCTGAACTTGTTGACCAAAAGGTTGGTGGTTAGAATCCGGGGAGCAGGGCGAGCTCTCGCTGTTAGCCCCAGCTTCTGCCAACCTAGCAGTTTGAAACATGCAAATGTGAGTAGATCAATAGATACCACCTTGGTGGGAAGGTAGTGACACTCCATGCGGTCATGCTGGCCACATGACCTTGGAGGCGTCTATGGACAACACTTTGGCTTAGAAATGGAGATGAACACCAACCCCTAGAGTCAGACACGACTAGACTTAATGTCAAAAAGAAAAACCTTTACCTTTACAAGTTTACTTAATGCTGTTTTAATTTCATATTCCATCATACTTCTGCAAACCATGCATGTTGCCACCTCTTTCATGCTTCAAACTACCAGCACCATCACTTTGGCTTGCTATCATAAGATGTGTATATTAGCCAGATTTCAGCATCAACCATTTAAATTTGAGTGTGATCCACTCAAGTCCCCTCTTTATCTTCGTTGTTCTATTTCTGTCGTCAGAGCTTCATCCCTTTGCCCCATTTTGCGATCATTTTGTGGCTTCACCCAGAGTATATACCGGGGTTGATTTTATCAGGGTATGGAAACACTACTGTTTCAGGTTACATTTTCCAGTTTGCTTCGATTGCTATGGCCAGTGGAGGATTCTGGAAGCTAGAATCCAAAAAAAGAGAGTAATCTTTCTGAGATTTTATATACAGGATGCTTATGCCAAAGCATATTTACACAAGGGAGCTTTATGCATCAATATCTTTAGGATGATCATTCTGGAGGATTTAAATTTCCAAGGGAGAGACAGAAGGAGAGAAAGGAGCAAACAGGAGATATTTTGAAACTTTAAGACTTAATGTTGATCTCATTGCTGACATTTTGGATCATGTGTTTACTTAAGCTTTTGGAATGAGGAAAGTATATATCCCTGTATGTAAACAAGATAATTTTTTATCATTTTTTCTAGCAAGATGTGTATATTTAATGCTTTCTGCAGAATCTAGTTTCATACTGTTGTATCCATGGAGACAGATCCCTTAATAACTCCTCCAGTTAGCGGGTCAAGTAAGCAAACCTATGCAGCTCCATAGCAACAGACTTGAGACTCAAAGGGAGCCTATCAGCAAATGAGCAACATCCTTCTGTCTCCTGCTCTAGGGAAATGGTGCAGCATGTTATCATCATGTGCGGATTGGTTCAAGCCAAAGGGGCACCATCCATTTTAAGAAGGTGGGCGAGGAAACAAAGAACAGAGCAAGCTATCAGTACTTTCTGCCTTGCAATACAATCAGATCCAGGCAGCTTTCTTTCTCTCTCTCTCTCTGTTTGTAAATGAGCACTTGTACACATTCATGCAACTGGTGTTAAGCAGAAGAATTATTTCAGAAAAGAGTAAAAACCCTAAAGGAAGCTTTGACTCCCAAAGTCTCTACTTCTCAGTTTAAGAAAGGTTTGCTTCTGCTATGAAGCAAAAGAAGGCTATTGCAAATTTGGGGCATTATTAAAGAGCAGAACAGTTGTTCCTCCACATTTGCATTTTTGACTTTTGCAGATTTGATTATTCATGGATTTAATAAAAAATGTTATCTCTAAGAATTTCTAGGTCCTCCACTGTGACTCTATGGTCAACCTCCTCCTGATTGAAGACCAAGAGCTCTCTAAAGATAACATTTCTTTAGAAATCTCTACATTCTCCACTGAGATTCTATGGTCCTGTGAAATCCTACCATAAAGTCAACTTGGAAGATCTAGAAATTCCTTTTGAGGTGTTCTCTCGGGTTAAAAAATAGCAAATTCACATTTTTTTTAGCTTTCATGGGAACCCCTGAAAATGTGGAGGATCAAGTTTGTGGTTGCTTTATTTTTATTCCAAGACCTGAGGAAACATAGTACTATCTAAATAGCATGAAGGCACCTGATCTTGTCTGATCTGGCATGCTATGTAGGGTCAGTCCTGGTTAGTTCTTTGAAGGGAAATTCCCAGGGAATACCATGCACCTTGGGCTATATTTCAGAGGAAGGCAATGGATTAACTCTGTTAGACCCAGTTGATATGCAAACTCATTGAATGTACTTTCATTTATACACAAAGATATTTGAATGCCAAGGAATTGCTTTGGAGGACCTAGAACATGCCTAGAAAAGTGTTTTCTCTAGGCCTTAAGCATTATTTTATGGTTTAAGTTCTGTCAGAAATTCTACTTGAACACTTCTCTATGAATTTTCTAAGTTCTCTAGAGTGATTCCATGATATTCTTCAGCTGGAAGCCCAAGATATAATTATTTTGGGTTCAGAGATCATGCCAAATTGATCTATTGCTTAATGCTGCCATTTACATCCAGCCATTTGGCAGAGTTATTTTTATTTATTAATCAAGGCATACACATCTCTTCAAGTATTGCAAGCTACTGAACATCATGAAGACTTCCTAAAAGAAGAAGCCAGCAGGAAGAATATTTTTATTCTAAACCACTTTCTCCATCACTGCTGGTCATTAGGTTTTAGTCAAGCACATCTGGAGAGCACTAGGTTGAGAAAGACAAATCTTAATCATGGAAATTACATATGTTGTTGCAGCAGCAACAACAATGACAGTGAAAGACTTTGTCCTAAAAAGCTTACAATCTAAATTACAGCTCTAGAAAAACAATAGAGTGAAAGAACTAATATAATGTGCTCTATGTAGGGCTGCCTTTGAAAAGTGCCCAGAAACTTCAGTTGGTTCAAAGAACAGCAGCCAGACTGTTAACTGGGGCTGGCTATAGGAAG